TCAGTACCCCCAGATATATGATTTGTTATTAGAACATGGAGGACTTTGCGACTCGACAGATGTAACGTGCATCAGTCACCATTTACTATATGGGGAGACTTCGGCCGGCGGGGATCGAACCCACGAACTCTTTGACAAGGGCCCAGTGCCCTTCCAGCCAGGCTAACACCATCATACGTACTCGTAGAGTTGGTCAAGCCTATTGGCTAAATCAGCTAAGATAAACAACAGCAATAAAACGATATATTGGACTCTATATGTAATGTTTTACGCTAAACTCAGGCACGAAAGGAATTTGTCTATTCGAAAAGTAGTCAAAATTTCGATTGTAAGATTCCAACTTCACTGACATAAATGCGAGTTTATAAAAACAGTGAAATATTGTTTTTTACTATAATTATTTTTTTTAAGGAAAATTAATTTCATCGGTCTTATATCTCGAGATTTATTCGAAAGATTAGTTTTGCATTTTGTATGATTTCATTGTATATTCTTGATGAGATTTCATTTTCTTTATCCATTGATAAGTGCATAGTTTTCAGATGAACCATTTTATTTATCGCCAAATAATCTCGATTTGATTGCAAAACACTTTACAATATTTTATTATTATGAATTTTATGCTTTCTATTGTACTATTTCTGAAAAAGTTACCATTTTTTAAGATTATATAAAGTTCTATTCTGTTCCGACTCAGCGATTACTGTATCTTCGTCCTTCAAAAACAAGTTTTTTTTTTCGATTGATAGATGATAAAACACGTGTCTTTGTATGCAATATACGTCTTGTATATCGAAGAAAAATTAATTAAGTCTTTCTCTTGTCACGCAAATGCATAAATTAACTTATTTAATTTATTCGCAACAATGAAAGGAAAGCTGTCATTCGAAATGATTTTTCTTTTAAAAAAAGGATTCTGCTCAACATTATTATGTTAAAAAAATAGAAGAGTTCATGGAGCTCCACATTTTAACGTTTTTCAATGATTCTTCAGAGATTCATTCTTTCAACAATTACAATTGAAAAGAAGAAAATGATGGCATCGTTAGGGACATGCTCGGGATCAGAATTACATGAAATAAAGCTCCAAAAATATGAAACTGAATTAGTTAAACATCAAAGTACATATGAATAAATAGATACGAAATCAAACAAAAGTTATTAACATTTTCATAGCTGTTTGAATATATAAATTTTTCTGCAACGCACGTCCCAGTTTAGAACTCTTTCTGCTTTCAAAAGAAAATATTGATACTTAGCATCGAAAAAGTATTATTAGAAAAGCATTTATACTGTTCAATACTGTTTAAAGAAGGAACATCTCGATATTTTTTTGTCGTTACTAAATTTTGATTTATATTTCATCTTATCAATATTGATACATAATTATCTATATTGATTCGTGTCAGGGTTTGTTGATTTAAATCAGCTTGATTTAAATCACGATTTAAATCATGATTTATATCAAATGATTCTTTTTTTTAAAAAAATCATTAATTTTAAATCAACTGATTTTTTTATATCTATATATTGATTTTAAAAGTTAATAAACGGTGTTTTAAATTATTGATACTTTAATTAATTTCTTTTCTTAGTTTTAAAATTTATTTTAAATAAATTGCTGCATTAATTAATTTTTGTTCACGAAGTGATTTTCTTGATGTGTGTTCCAACACATTTGAAATTACATTTTTAAAAATCTTTTGATTCTTAAGATTGAAAGTACAGATTAAAGTAAGCATTTAATGCTGTCTTAATATAGACTTGTATAGCTGAAGAAAGTAATTAATAAACATGAATTTTTTTTCAACAAAAAAAAAATGTAAATAATGTTAATTAAAATTCTGCCTTTTGTTTGAAAAAGCATGGATTTAAAATCTAGATTATATTTTATTGGTGGAAAATGTATATTTCTAAGGCTTGAGTTTATATTAAAAAGAAATTACCCTACTATGCGAAAAATAGAAAAAAAGAGGCTGATGAATTCAGATATTTTTTTCCTGATATAGTGACATTTTTCCTTTTCAAAGTCTATTTGAAGCAGTGAGGTTATTAACTGATAACTGGTATTTTTTTCCATTATATGTTTACAGTATCTTTGACATTATCGGATTTTCTATAAAGAAATTTTGTGAAAAAAAATTCCAATGAGTACATAGATTTTTAACAAATTTATTTTAGCTTAACTTATCTATTTTGATATAGGATTAAAAATGAATATTTTAATATAAAAATATTTAGATTAAATATTTATTTAATTTTTGATGAATGACTACATTCATAAACACAATCTGTTACAATTTTTAATTTTCACAGATTATGTTTCTGTAATTTTCAAAATTATGTTTCTGTAATTTTCACAAAATAGGTACCTTTCAGAAAAACCTAAACAGACTCCTGAAGTATTCTTTAAATTCTCTTTTTCATCTAGTCTTTAAATTTCATTCATGCATTTGTTTCAAAATGGTTGCTATGCATTATAATGAAAAATTATTTTAGTAAGTTAGAGCTTCTAAAATATTGTTATAATATAGTTTTAATATTAATTTAATTAAACATTTATAAAGCTTTTTAATCATAAATTTAAGTTCTTACAATGTATTTGAATAAAAATCAAAAAAATCTGATTTAAATCAAAAAAATCATGTTTTTCTTTAAATGAAAAAAAATCACAAACCTTGATTCGTGTATGAGTAAAAGCCTTATTAGTCAGTTCTGGTTATTATGCAATTAAATGCGCATAACCAAAACACATAAATCTCTTAAAAAGTTGAATTCAGTTTATTATGGTTCCGAACCAGAACAGATCTAATTCTGGGATGTTATGCTGGTAAACAGAAATGTTATGCTGGTGTAATTCTTCTCGTTTACAATAGATTTTTTCTCATTAATTTCAAAAAAAAAATTTGAGATTTTATTTGGTCCAAAATAATAATTGAGAATTCGCTTACTATTTCAAATGAAACATATCAACAAAAAACAACCTTGTTTCTTTTTTTTTCCTTTTTTAGATAGTTAGATTTATTTTAGAAAGAAAAATGCCGATATTATCGAACTGAAGTATGCGGATATCAGTGAATACTGTCGAAAAATACCGAAAGAAAGTATCTGTATTTCACACTTGTCAATGTTTATTCAATGTTGCTAGGGCGAAATAATTTCCGTTTTTTTTGTAAGCATTTTTAAGATTTTTGTTTGAAAGACAACTAATCTATCATCTTTCAATAATTTCTTCCATAATTATTGAATTTTTTTATAAAAAAGTTTCCTTGAATCATTTAATTGTTTTGTATGGTTTTAAAACTTTAGTTATTGTATTGCTTTAGTATCTGTTATTAAATGAATGTTAATATTTCAGATACGGTTTGCTTGGCCCGAGTGGTTGCGGCAAAACTACACTGTTGAAATGTATCATAGGCCGGCACAATCCAAAAAGTGGGACCATTCGGATCTATGGGAAAACCCCAGGTTCAAAAGGATTCACAATCCCTGGTTGTGGACTAGGGTTCATGCCTCAAGTAAGCTAACAGCAATCATTATATAATATTTTAAATCATTCTTGAAAATTTTCCCTTGCATGTAATTTTATTTGACTTCGCTACTCGCCTTATAGATTTCGTTTTGTGATTTATTCTGTTTTTCTTTAAATTTTATTATCTGTTTTTTATGTGATATTTATTACTTAATGTGTTCTATTTTCTTTCATTTTTTTTTCGAGTACTCCTCACACTATTGTATTGATATATTTTGCTTTGGCTATATTGATACAATATTAGAAAAGCACTCCATTTTGCGGATATAATCGTGTGAGCTGATGAGGAAATTTTGAGTTTACGATTATCAATGTTCAACTCCGTAGCCTTGTAATTTTGAACTTAATCCAGAAGAAAAAGGAACTCTTTGACCGAGTATTGGGAGAATTTTGCCTTCGCGGAGGACTTTGAATAGAACTAAGCCGCATTTGCGTTACACGGAGAGGAAAACTTCACACGGTTAGCCTGACGGCAAGGGGACTCTAACCCATGATCCGTCTACCACTGAGGATATCATATAAACATTAATTTTTTCCAATGATTTTAAATTACGAACCTATTTTCTTTTCTACCGCAGCTTTGGTGAAGTTAAACTCTACTCTTTACTATTTATTCTAATCAAACCAAACGCTTTGTTTTACTGTTTAATTCTTGGATAATGCAATCAACAAAACTACTACAGCATTTAATTTAATTTAACCTGATTTCAAGCTGTTATATTCCTCAATATACGATTTAAGCTAGCCATGTATAGTTTGTCTAAAATAAGAACTCCCCTAGCCATTCGTCTAGATCTAGACCCGTGGCCGTGACTATGGTGGGGTATAACTATTTCGGAGGGAGTTATCACCTTAGACAAACTATATTTCACCCAACGCTTCGTTACCTTATCAGATAATCGGAACCTTCGGGAGAGATCCCACAGCTGCCTACTTCTGTAGTGCTGCATCTCTCTCCAAGATACATGAATAAATAAATGAAACTTCACTCATGTATATTAGAGACAAAATGCTTTTTTTCTACTCTATTTGCCTTCCAACTACCACTATGACTTTCCATACAATGTTAGAAATTCACGATGAATACGATTAGAGCTGTAAACTTTCGAAGGTGTCCCGTTAAAAGATCAGTATTAGAATCAGAAATTTTGGGCTGATACTGACAAACCAAAGAGAATCCTAAAGGGCAAGAAAGAGAGAGAGAGGACAAAGTGTTATGCTTTTTAAAAAAGTATATCATTCTGTTAATTTTCGCTTGAGATTTCCTTTTGTTTTAAAAATAGTAATAAGATGTATAACTTAATATTTTCATTTCTGCTTTATAAAATTTATTTTTATTTTTTATTTTGACCACACATTAATAATTTAACTAAACATGTAAAGGTCTTAACATTATCCTTTATCTTAAGTGTTATCATAGTTAAAATAATTGCTGCTTACAATTGGTAAATCGATTGTTATATCGCTACCACTACAAAAACGTAAAATATGGAAAGATAAATTTTGTTACCACTTTAAATGTATAAAATCTAATAAAAAGCAAGTAATTGTTAGCTTCTAAGTTATACTGTATTCAGTTAAAGTTATACTGTTCTATAAAAAGTGGTATAAGTTTATATTTAAACTATAATACCGGATGAAATGACACTCCCTGTTCAAGCTGATTTTTTTTAATTCAGTTAGTTCGGTTAGAAAATAAATGAGCATAATGCGTTTTACATGCTATATTTAGTCGGCAACAAATGCCAGAAATTCAACCAGGGATATCTAAAACCCACAATTTATTCCTAGGGCACTCCTTGGCCCAGGTCCAAGAGGGCGTGGGTTCGATCCCCGTCAACCGAAGACTCCCCGTTTAGTAAATGGTGACTGATGCCCGTTAAATCTGTCGAGTCACAAAGTCCTCCATGTTCCCATAACGAATCCTACCTCTGGGGGTACGGATCCAGGAGTTTCCTTGTCTTTTGGATTGGGTTCAAAATTACAAGGCTAAGGAGTTAAACATTAGTAGTCGTAAACCCGAAATTGGGTCGGCGGCTCAACGACGGTTATAAAATTGACTGAATTGTTTTGCACTCAATAAAAATATACAGATGTTACAAAGAAGAAGTAAACTAGTAACAATATAAAATTACTTATTTAGTAATTTTATATTGTTACTAGTTTATTATAATTTGAATTTGGTTTTAGCTGCCTTGTGCGCTGTTCCAATTAGAATTAGTGTAGTAATGGTTATTTATTTTTTCTACCTCCTGTTTAATAATTTTGACTTAAGAATTTGAATTTATGTTTGGATTTAAAGGAGAAGTAAGTAATAAGTTGGTAAATATTTTCTCGTTTTACCAACAACTTAAATTTTAAAAATTCGTGCGTGCAGAGTGGAAAACTTAAATTATATACTTTTCTTCATTATCTGCATCATGCCTTCTCGTGGTACAAATGGTACAAATTATGTTTAAAAACCCATAGTTCGTCGAAAAATGTTATTCGTAACTTAAATTACGGGGTCTAGTCAAAAATATGGAACCACTTTTATATTAACTCGCACAAATAATCTTACTTATAGCAGCAACTGTTTTGGAAGATTTTACATGGCACTTTAAAAGACCATGATTGAAATTTTTGGAAATGGTGTCATTTTGAACGAATGCAAAATTCGAATCAACCAAAACAGGGAGAAAAAGGTAGTAATTTTTTTTTATCTTTGCTACCTACAATTTTGAAATCATTCTATAGGATTACGATATTTATTTAAGAATACTTTTCAAATCGTAGTGGCATTAATAAAAGGATTTTGTATGCTTAAAAAGGACAACAATTCTGAAAGCTTCAATCACGATCTTTCGAGTTGTGCCAACAGTTTTGTCATGTAAAGGTGTTATCATTTAACATTAGCTGTTAAAAAGAAAAATTGTTTTCTTAGAGTTGGTATAGAAGTGTTTCCATATTTTTGTCCAACCCCTGTGGATATTGTATTGCAGAGTGTAATAACTTGGATGGAGATGGTATAAGAATTGAATATACTAAACACGAGAAGACTTAGTTACATCTTTGGTATTATTATTTTATAAATAACGGTGAGCAATTTTTTTCAATAAAATTTATCAACTAGTCATCTTTAGGATTTTTTTCCTTATAAACATTTTGCGGTTTTTTGTTCTGCGTCTTTGTCGGAATTCCCACGGGTTTTAATTTTCAGTTTTTATAGAATTAGTGAAATCATAATGCATAATGCTAAAAGGCATTTCTTCCTTATGATTCATCTATAACATTGAGAGGTCTGACAGGATGACTACTATGTATTTTATGTGAAAAGACTACCATATCATGAAGTAATTAAAACTGAAACCTATGAATCACCAACAGGATCATCATAAGAAAATCTTTTTTAGCTGGAGAAAATTTAAAAAAAAAAAACGGAACAAAAAATCTTCTACAAACGACAACGTTGAGTGTTAGCACTTAGTTTCCAGAGGAAATCTTTTTGTACAAGCTTAAAAGTAGAAATTATTTACAACATTTTGTCAATATCTTGTAAACTCTTATTTTAGTTATTTACTTATTGCGGCTCTCCATTGCCTTTTAATATTCCATTACTTCCAATTGAAGACCATACCTTATTGGGCGGCAGTAATAAACAAAAAAAAAAACGGGAAGAAGAAATGAAAAAATATTAAAGTTAAGCACATTATTGATTAAGCGTAGCAGAAACATAGTTTCCAATTTTGGCTTTCACAAAAAATAATAAGTAAAAAGAAAATTAAGACTTAAATACTTTAAAATGTAATATCAGTAGAATATCAAATATAAATTACGAATATTTTTTTAATACAAATATTTCCGATCCACACTTTGTTTGAAAATGATTAAAAAGTACAAATTAAGTTTTTTCAGTGCTAATATTTTTGATAGATATTCTGTAAGAAACTGATTTGGAAAAAATGTGTAAAATTTGGCCTTTCTTCTGCAATTTTGAAAAATATTGGAATTTTTACACTTATATCTGTTTATAAAACTTTCAATTTACTACAATTGTAATTTAGCTACTTCTTAATAAACTCTTCAGTCAAAGGTTGGTAAAACACAAGAAGTTCGGCCAAAGTTGGCATGAATGTTTTTTTAAATTTTTTTCATTCATTTTCTTAAAATTTTGTCAGAGCTTATTCATTCTCGTAGGATTTTACAAGAACTCGTTCATTCTCTCGAAATTCTTTATCGTAAGATTCATTCTTTAAAAAAATTTCAGGAACTCGGTCTCTATCCAGAAATCTCGGCTGAAGAAACTTTAACTTATTTTGGAAGACTCTATCAAATGGATCAGTCCTTAATCAAAGAAAGAATCTCATTTCTGACCACATTCTTGGACATTCCAGACAAAAAGAAACAAATAAAAAATTTGAGGTATGTAAAAAAAAGGAAACTGTGATTTCTTGTCGTTTTCTTACTAAAGAGTTAACAGAAAATTCACACTTTTAATTTATGTACGCGCATCTACAAAAAGAATCTATTAACTTCAAGAAATGAATCTATCTCAACAAGTGAATCTTGCAAAAACTAAAAAGGAAATTTATAAAATTTTCTGAAGCTATATAAAAAAGTTCGTTGCTTTATATTTTTTCAGTTAGTTGTTTGTTTAAGTTATGATTGCTTTAGTTTGCTGTGAATAATTTTTCCATATTTTAAAAAATTATAATTTTTTTCACGTTTTATAAATTCAATCCTTTAAAACTGTCATTGATACTCTGTAAAAGTACTTCGATAAAAGAAAATTATATAATTTTTTTTCCAAAAATGTTTAATATTTTTCAATGTTTAGATGGTTTTTTGTGTAGAATTTACCTTCTAATTAATATGTGTTATTTTTCTTAGATTTTTTTCACACCGTTGTTTTCCTCAATATATTTTAAAAGTCCTTATTATAAAAAAGTTCATTACATATGCACATTAGAGGTTGCAAATTAATGGATAAGCGTAAAAAAATACAAAAATGTTATCGAAATTTGATGTATCGATAAATGAAGGCGGCATTAAAAGCATCAAATTTCATTACCCAACAAAATTTGACACTATTTCTAATAATCGAATTCAATATTGTTTATTGCTGAATTCTATTTACCTCCTTTTAATTTTCTCAAGAAATCAAACTTGTAAACCCTCCTTCCTCAATAAATATTAGCGAGATTATAATAACGTTTCTGATTTTTCCTAACTTTAATGATAATTTGCTATTCCTAATATGTATGCAGTTTAGAGTCAAGTTTGACGAATATTCTACAAATATATATGAAGGGTAAATATTGCGGATCATCCTGTATTAAGAGCAACGCGTACTTAACCTACATACGTATGCAAATGAAGTTTAAAAAAATCACATTATTCGAAGTTTATTTACACATTGTTCTATGACACATTGGTAACAACTACAGCATATTCAAAATATAAATATGTTAGTACTATCTCTTTAATCCCTTAACGATCGGTTAATTTTCAAGAAAACGGTCATAAAAGTGTCTATTTTTTTGGCTTTTGTATTTGTATTACGTATTTGATTAGTGCTGCAACTAGTTTAAAATAAACTCACTATCTACAATTACCTTAAAAATATCCTGGTACTGCCATCAGGTGTGTAAAATGAGAAATAAAATGTTTTCCGGGCAAAAGAAATGAATTAGTTTTATTCTTATTGGCGCGTTACTACTGAACACTCCAACCCGTCAATATCACGGGAGCGAGAAATAGCGGGTGAAATCTCACCCCGTCATTTTCACGGGAGCGAGAAGGAAGGGGTTAACTAAACTGAAACCGAAAAAACTGAAAGTTCTGAACCACTTTATTTTCTTGATTACAACGTATATGTTTATTTATGATATTTTTTACTAGAAATTCTGCACTGTATTTGTTAATAAGTGGCAGTAATCGAGGTTACTTTATTTCTTCTGAATAAGAAAAGGAAATAAAATGTTTTTACTGTCAGTTTTTTAAAAATTCCGTGTAAATGGCAGATATACATGAACGATTTAGTGACTACATATTTAATTAATTTTGAAAAAAACAAACACTGTTCCTGTTAATCACGGTAGCTACGATCTCGTCATTTAATATGCTTACATATTGTGTGAATTAATCATAAACACTTAGGTGCCAACTTGGAAGGGCATTGAAAAAATTGTTTTCTTATTGGTAGCAACAGTTATGTTTTAACGTATAAATCTTAATTTTAAAAGTTAAATATTAAATTGCTTTACCTACCATGACAAATCAATAATTCAAGCATTTATAAATAAGATATATTAGTTACAGGATATCTGCTCACCTGGAAAGTCATGAATTTCGGTGTTGAACAAAATTTGACATGAAATGTCATGACTTTAACTATTTTTTTAAAAAAATCATGAAAAGTCAAGGATTTAGGTTGCCGAAAATTTAATTTTTAAAATGGAATTTACCCCCCCCCNAATATAATTTTTAAAATGGAGTTCCGAATATCTGAATTTCTAACAAAATCCCCACTCACAGTCTATTTTATTAAAATATAAAATGTTTTTATCATGCTCTTTAAAAATTATAGTGTTCTTTCGAGAAATGAGAGAAAAAACATAATTTCTGAAGCGAATTTTCTTTTAAACCTCTGTGATTTCAGATTTTTCGTTATAATTAATTATTTTATAGATTTAAAATTCTAGCGGAAGCAAGCCTTTCGAATTTTTTTTTCATTCCGAAAGGAGAACAGAAAAATCAGGAGTATTTCTTTCCTTTTCGATGAACAAGAAAAGTATCTTTAAAATATAATTCTGCAGAAAAAAAAGAAAAGAAAAATATTTGCTTCTGTTCTTTTTCAGCTATTTCATTGCTTCAACTCTTTTTTTACCCTGTTATTTATATTTAAAATCTACAAATATGAAGATGCAGAGTATAACAGTTTTGGTTATACTTATCATTTCAATTAATGTCATTACAATCCTTTTTTAAATTTATTGTTGTGTTTTTGTTGGAGAAAATAGTAACTTCGTTAAGTCATGAAAAATTCTTGGAATTAGTCATGGAAAGTCATAAATTTGAAAATCTGAAATATAGCAGACACCCTGTACTAGTAGTTAGACAAGTAGTAGTTTTAGTAGTTAGACAAGTATGCTAAAACAAAGAACAGCAGTCTTGGTGTTTCCTCATGCTGATTCTCAAGGCCGGATTAACCATTAAACAAACTAAGCACGTGCGTAGGGCATCAGAGGATAGGGGGGGGGGGCACCACAAAGCCTAACTAAATGTTCGCAATACACAATTGTTTTTCGAAACATTGTATTTTTCTACTTAAGTTTTGAGGAAGAAAAAGGAGCATTGCGATAAAAAAAAGTGCGAAAAACTATTTAGCTATGCATAGTGTAAACCAAAATAAATATCTTACATGACACTTTTACATTTTTTACGAAATATTTTTTCTAACGTTAGAGAATGCCATGTATTTAATCTAATGAATCTCTATTATGTTTCGTTAGTTTTTTTTTCATATAATTATTAATTTACGAGCTCTAAGCCTATTTCCCCATTAAATTTTATACAAGGAATTTCGAAATATATATCATCAGTTAGTTATTATAGAAAACACTATCTAAATAGTTTTAAGTGCCAGTGAAACTTGAATAAAAAAAAAAAATTATTTATTTTTTTAAATTTTTATTAATTTCATTTCGAATGGAAAATGTTTTCACAAAACTTGTAATTAGCAGTTATGAATTATTTTTTTTAATTATTTAAATTTTTTTGTTTTAATTTAAATAAATATTTTCTTTTAAAAAAATCTTATTTTTATCTTTTGAACTCGCGACTTAATAGTGGATATAATTATAATTGCAAGAGGGGGCACCAAAATATTTTCAGTGCTTAGGGCCCCAAGAGGTCTTAATCCAGCCCTGAAGATACCTCACCTTCATTTCAACAGTTGGAAACATTTTCTGAGAAAACTACTCTCATCATGTCAAATTTGATTATTTTTTCGAGCAAGATGCTCGAGTATTTCAGCAAATCAAAAATGCAGCTGATCACAAAGTTTAATAAAAAAAACATTTGGATCTGGTAAGGACTGCTTCGCGGCCTAGGTTCCCAATTTCCAATCGATACTAGGACTAGACAGGTATGCTCATAAATGTTGGCGAAGTCACTTGATCTTTTATATACCTTAAGCATTATTATGCTGCGCTCTTTGGAAAAATTTCTCCAAGTAGCTAAATTTATATTACGATTCTTTGTTTTGAAAAATTGATCTAAAGTTATTTTCAACACCACGACATATAAATATCATATGAAACGCCAGTTTGTTGTAGCTCTCTTGTGGTGAGGCTTTTAAAATGTTTGTGAAATTATCAAAAATTCTGAAAGCTTTTGATTTTAATTGCCAATCACTCTATAAAATATTTTGAAAAAAGCTTAGTGGTTGGAAGCTGACTTGAAACTTTATTGCTGTTTCTTTTTTATTGCTTAGTGGCGGTCAACAAAGACGAGTATCATTTGCTGTTGCACTAATTCACAAGCCACCACTCATCATTCTAGATGAACCAACAGTAGGTGTAGATCCTCTTCTCAGGAAAAGGTAACATTTTCATATATTTTTAGCATAACTTGACTCATGATTTAAATCGAAAATTTCTGGAAGAAAAAAAACTCTTATTATTTTAGGACTTCTTAAGACTTTTACCAAACTGTTTTTTNTTATTTTTTTTTTTTTTTTTTTTTTATTTAAATTTTTTATAATTATTTTTTTTTTAGCTATAAAGCTTCCCGAATTTTATCGATTTTGAAATTTGAAACCTTTTGTAAGATGTGTAATATGATTGACAGCTAAATTATGCAAAATAATAATAATAATATTAGCAGTAAAAAAAAAATTTTTTTTTCGTTACACGCTCTTTATCATTACAAAATATGACAAAAAACTAATTGGAAAAAAAAGTTTATATAATCTGTATCGCTAGGTTTTTAGAAATAAAATGCATATTTTTCTTATGTATAAAAAATTTAAAATTTGTAGCTAATAAATGTCCACAAATAATTTTATCTTTCACGTTGTTTTTGAAATCAGCATATGTCAATTTTAGAACTAAATATGATTACATACATTATTAACGTGTCTTGGTAATCAAAATATCGTGTTTCACTCAAAAAAATGTGGGAAAATGACATACTTTTTCGACCACTACTGCATTGTAAATAGGAAGCTGCTGCCACTGAACAAGGGAAAACATGCTTTAAACGTTTCGAATCAATTTCTATTTTTTTCTGGTATATAACATTCAAAAATACGTTGTTTTGTTTGTAATTTTTAATTGGTTCCCTAAACACATTCGCATCTTAATTTAGCACAAATTTTCAGATTAAAGTGGGAATAATCGCTAATCGCATTGGTTTAAGATATAAAATTTATAAGGAAATCTGCTTAGTTTACTTAAAAGCTTTGTTGTTGTTCTTCTTTTTTTTTTTTTTTTTTTTAAGATGNTTTTTTTTTTTTTTTTTTTTTTGTAAGATGGTGATAAATAGCAAAAAAAAAGAAAAAAAATGGATTTTAATTTTATTTTCAGTTCAATTTTAAAAATCATAACCGGAAAAAAATCAAACTGAAATTGAATTTTTTTTTTAATTGTAAATATTTTGTATCGTTATTTTACATAAACGCATTCAAAATGAGGATGTTTTGCGTTAATAACTTTCTAGTTTGTTTAAGGAACATAAAAACATCACTCATCTTAAAATAAACCTTTCAATTTTAGGTTTAATATTTTTATTCACGTTTCCTGGAGTAAATAACAGCATTTTAATTACTAAGAGCAAATAATTAAATACAATAAATTAAGTGAAAAATAAAATGAAAATCCTAGGAATTTAAAGATTTGTAAGAAAATTGTGTGTTTTTCTTCCAATAGCATATGGAATCATCTTCAAAACCTCGCAGCCAGAGACTTAATTACAATTGTCATCACAACTCATTATGTTGAAGAAGCACGTCAAGCACAAGTAGTAAGTTGATTTCAAATTATTAATTAATCACTATAAAATGGATGAAGATATTTCTTTTAAATAATAGCAATATACTGGGTGTTCCATAACCACTACCCACAGTATATCTTTTTTTAGAATAATTCAAAACATAAAAATAAAGTGAAAACATTAAGAGTTCAATAAGAATATTGAAGGAAGGGGAAAAAATGTCGTTGAAATCCACTGTAAAGAAAGGCAGCATGAAAACGTAACCAGTCTCGTTGCCTATAAATAAAACTAGAAGATATTTTTAACTATCGCCTTTCAAGCCCTTTCTGTCCCCAAGCAATCAAACAGGCCTTTTTGTTTTTAGTCCTACCTTCTAGAGTAGTGATTCGTAAGATTTCGCTACTCATTTTTTCTTCATTTAAGTATTAATTTACGACTCATAATACGTATACTTTTTTACTTCAATTTTGACAGAAAAATCGAGTCGAACTTAGGAAAAAATTTGTCAATTTTAAAATATTTTAACGAAATTAAGGAAAATATGAAGTCATTGTGAATTTCTAGCAGAATTAAATTTCTTGCAAATGTGTTAGTTCTATAAAGAATTATTTTTAGAATTTAATTTTCGCACATCAGCATCTATATAGAAAAAGAAGTTTACGGTTACTTTTTTATTTAAAGGAAGCTTATAAGATGTAAGCCTTAAAGGAGCATGAAATTAAAAGTTAAATGGCATTAGACTGTAACACGTGACTTTAGTGTAATATGTTAAAGCAGCAGTAGCCAAGCTTTTGATCTCAACGGACCACCTCAGCAGAAAATATTCTAACTCGGGAATCAATACCACTTTTTTTGAAGGAGAGGGAAGATTCTCCTAATAGGAATGAAAGCGGATTTTTAAATGTCTCCCTTCAAATCAGAATCGAGGTATTTCAGCGATTTTAAAAAATTGTGCTAATTAAAAGTTATTCATGTTAGCCGGTTGTCATATGACTACACTGCTTATTTTCAATGAAATTTTTAAACATGACGATCGGGGCCGGGATAGCCTGGTCGGTAGGGCTCTGGGCCCATATCCAAGAGGATCTCAAGAGTCTCCAAGTCCTCCATGTTCCCACAACAAATCAATACCTCTGGGGGTACTGATCCAGGAGTTTTCTTGTCTTCTGGATTGGTTCAAGATTACAAGGCTACGGAGTTGAACGTTAGTAGTCGTAAACCCATGAAATTGGGTCGGCTGTTCAACGACGGTTATAAAATAAAATAAAAACATGACGATCGAGCCGCGATGGCTCAGGCGATAGAGGGTTCGCCTTCAAATAAGGTGAACCGGGTTCGAATCCAGCGATGGTTGTTCGATACGAATCCGTGTCCGGTTTGCACCGACCACAGTGCTGACGTGAAATATCCTCAATGGTAGACAGATCATGGGTTAGAGTCCCTTCGCCGTCAGGCTAGCCGTGGGAGGTTCTCGTGGTCTTCCTCTCCATGTAACGCATTGTGGGTTAGTTCCATCAAAAAGTCCTCCAAGAAGGCACATTTCTCCCAATACTTGATCCAGGAGTTCCCTTGTCCTCTGGATTGGGTTCAAAATACAAGGCTACGGAGTTGTACATTAGTAGTCGTAAACCCAAAAATTGGGTCGGCTGTTCAATGACGGTTATAAAATAAAATAAAAAACATGACGATCAATGAAACGATGATGATGATGGATAATTAAAGTTACAATAAATGTAAAACTATTCAATCAGTGTGATTTTACATCAGGGGTAAGGAGGGAATTGTGACTGATACTACCAAAACAACTAACCTCATTCGTTAATAATTCTTCCGTGGACCACCGATGGTCCATCATTTAGCTTCCTCTTTGTTAGAGTATCGTTCATGTTTTGAAAGAGCATTCTCATTTATTTCAGGTTGGCTTCATGAGAGATGGTCATTTATTGGCCGAAGCAAATCCAGAAACTTTGATCACGCAATTCAATGCTCTTACCTTGGAAGATGTATTTTTAAAGTTGTGCCTCAAAGAGAGTGAATCTCTTGAAATTACTGTCAACGGAAGTAAAGAACAACTCGAAATGCAAGATGTTTGGGTTCCCAGAAAAGTAAGTTTCCTGGAAAAAAGGATTTGAGAACCCTTTCTCTTGTCAAACTCACTTCATAACCTTTTGAAGCAGAAGTTTTTACTAACCATATTTTTCATACTTTTTTAATTTTTTTTATTAATTTAAATTAAAAAATAAGTGAAAAATATTACATTCAGCATTTTATATAACTATGGTTATGAAATACAGCCATTAAACAGTGGTGTCTTTTTCTGCGCTAAAAGTAAGATCTTCCAAACATGACTCACTTCCAAGAAATTTTTTTTATTTTTTTTTTTTATAAACTTACACTTATTTAGATCTAAGAGAAATAGTTATTCATCATTGAATTTTTTTCATTTACAAAATAAATTAATGATACATTTTTGAATATGAATGGAAAAAAATCAAACTTCTTTTTTTGGATTTTATATCTTAATACAAATATTTAATTCCGATAGTCTAACAGATTTTTTTAGTAACTATTAGACCGTTTTTTATAATTAAAAAACACCAAAATATATTTTTGCATGTAATTAGAGCATCAGAAAAAAATGTATAAAAGGGATACTGGTGTCTCATCAGCGTTAAAGGGTTAAAGTATCAGGTATAAAGTTCAAAAATATTATACAGCCCTTAATAGCTTCCTCATATTGGACGTTTTAGCAAAAGACATACAAATTTTATACAGAGTTGCAATCAAAAGTAAGAAAAAGTTATTTATCACAGTTCGAATTTTTCATTCAAAATAAAACAAAGCTGTGTGAAATTATTATTTTTATTACTATTCTTATTAAAATTAAAAATAGTATTTCATCATTTTAAACGATAAAACAATCGATTTCAGATAGAATTATCTGGTTTTAGCTTTGACTTATCGGTTTTGACATACTTTATCTTCCAATGCTTGTTTTAAGAGTCTGAATTAACTGAGATAATCAAAATTTATTTGCATGCATTAATATTTATTAATTTTATTTTTTAATAGATCTTTTGCTAACAAAATTTATGTTTAGTTATTTCTACACTTATTTACTAGTTATTTTTTATTAGTAGTCTCCATTAATAGAGACTAAATTTTCTGCTAAAATATCCCAGGCTGCAAGTGTTATAAAATTAAAGGAGCTACGATAGCCGCCATGCCAGACGCCACGGTGTTTAGGACAATGCGCTGTCATAGTGAAGTGCACGGAGGCTCAGGGGATAGAGCGTTCGCCTCCCAATGAGGTGCTTCAGGTTCGAATCCTAGCGGTGGCTGGTAAATCGTAATTTTGGTGCCGTCTCGCACCAATCACAGTGCTGACCCACTGGGTGACAGAGCATGAGTTAAAACCTCCTTTACGTCGAGTTAACCGAGAGGTTTTCGTGGTTTTCATCTCCATTTAACGCGAATGCGGATTAGACCCATCAAAAAGTTCTCTATAAAAGCTAATTTGTCCCAATGCTTGATACACTTTGATTGTCGTAAATTAGAATAGGGTCAGCTGTTCAATGCCGGTTATGATATAAAATATAAGTTCTCTAAGATTTATATCTATAGGAAGGTAAAAGCAGCCGGTGCTCAACGTGAACCACATTCCCACTATCATGCCATTGATCTCGAAATTGTGGGACCTAACTTTTTATGATCCCTGTGGCAGATAACTAGCTTTTGCTGCATTGCTTCACTTTTCTAAGCATAAAATAAAGTTTAAGTGTCTGCAAATCTCTCTCTATAAAAATGGATATTAATCTGTGCGTGGGAGTCCTTTAAATCAATGAAATTTGACATACAGATAGTTTGAAGCACGAGGAAGGTCAATGTCGACATTAGAACATTCTACGATGAACCGTTCAAGTATGATAAGCGAAGAACAAAATGGTGTTTTCTGATTGATTAAGCATTAGACCACATATTACACACAGTGATAATTGCTAGCTTATAGCTCTATTTGATCAAAAAACAGCTCATTGCATGTATTCAAATATTTCATTATTTTATATTCGCAATGTCAGATAAATTCTATGAACAACATTGCGTGGTAGCACGCGTGCATGTCATCAAATTTATACTTTTAAACTTGTTTGATACCTCGCGTTTTTTTTAAATATTGATATTTGTTCTTTTACGACGGGTTTCTAAAAAAATAATTATTTAAAATCAACAGTAATTGAATAGAAAAAAAATATTTATATGTATTTAAAGGCAAAATTAATGGGAATATTGTACAAATTCGTTTATGAGAAATTTTTATTATTAATGACGCCAATGATGCTTAATTAATTTTGGCAATATATGCATATTGAAATAAAAGAAATAAACTATGTACTAGGAAGCAAAAGTAATGAAGTAAAGGTATGATAGAAGAAATCGTTATACTATTATGGACGACAATACTCAATTAATTTTGGTAATATGTTAATTAAAATAAAAAAAACTTATGTACTATAAAGCAAATATAATGGGGAAGAAATACTTATTCATTTTGGGAAGCCGTAAAAAATCGCCGTATTATTTTTGACATCAATGTTTAATTAATATTGATAATATGTATTAATTGAAATAAAATAAAATATCCTACATTCTGAAAAGCAAAGTTAAAGGAGAAAAGGTTGATAGGAAATCCATTTAGGAAAACCATAGAAAATCACCATTCACAGATGACGCTTAATCAACTGACAGTAATATGAACATACTACTGATATTATGTTAATTGGTGCAGTTTTGATAAGAATTCTACAACGGGTTTTCCGTAGTTTCAGAAAATATTTTTTTCCAGTGATAGCAAAGATAGTGTATTAATATTTTAATGAATTAAAAGTAGAATAACTTTTTTCCTAATCAAGTTCTGATATGAATTATATTTTAAAAAAAATGGCTTCAGTTGGCTGCTACTAACAAAAGTATTTCGCACAAAACTCGAATGTTGAAGGTGACGGATTATGTAATAAGTACCAAATATACTAATATAGGTATAAAATATTATACCGATATATTTGGTGATAATTAAATTCGCAAAACTTCAAAGCAGTTTTAATACCGATACTTTGGAAATAAGTGTTTTACGGCCTCTCAAAAGCGATGTGTACCAGAGAAAATTTCTTGATAGTGATAAATTTTGACTGTCGTGAGCTCGGCACGAGCAATGGCATCATATACCAAGTGACTCTAAATACATTTAATCTTTATTCTAATGGGATGAATTGCATAAAAAATATTTAAAAAAAACGAGTTTTTCTTGCTTTAATAACGTAAAGCCATCAAAAAAGAGCAACAAATAATATTAAATGAAAACAATTAAATTATTTTAGCTATATTAATTAAAAAAACTTAGTGGGTTAGAACCAAGTTAAGTTAAAAAACTTACACATTTCAGAACGAAAGAAAAGTTGCGTCCGAATTATTTTATTACCAATTCATTAGGAGGCCGGACTAATAATTCTTTATTTTATTTCATTTACCACTGCCTAATTTGAAATAAAAATCATGCAAGCATACTAAACACTTATGTGGATTAGTTATGTTAAGATTAAAGTGAAGGCAAAAACAGTTCTGTTACATTCAGCAATACCCATACTGATGCATCCACCTTTTGTTATTTTCTCTGATTCAGTAATTTTCCTAAAAATGTCACTTGCCTGGTTCTTCCATCAAGCTCTTTAATTTTGTTGGTATATGCTTTTCAGTTTGATTTCGTAGTGTTCCTCAGTATTTATTATTGATTCCTTGCATTTTTTAATCACCCAGTGCAAAGAACGGGTATTCAGTAATTTTATAAATAAAATAAAAAAATAAAATAAATTCATTTTTGAAGCATTTCTTCTTTTGCATACCACGTGATATTTGTTGAGTTTTAAAGAAACCCGCGACATATTTTACTATATTTAAAAAAAAGTTATTTAAGTATATTAATAAAAAGATTAATTCAGGGATATTTAATTCATTTCGATACATAATTATTATCAAGCTGGTGTCTTCTTCTACTATCATAATTCTTTTTGCGCAGGAAAAACTTTTTTTTTAATAGCAGTTCTCTTTTTATAATCGTCGTTGAACAGCCGACACAATTTTTGGGTTTACGACAGCTAATATTCAACTCCGTAGCCACGTAATTTTGAATCCAATCCAGAAGACAAGGGAACTCTTGTATCAAGTATTGGGAAAAAATTGCATTCATGGAGGACTTTTTGATGGATCTAACTCGCATTTGCGTACATGGTGAGGAAAACCACGAGAACCTCCCACGGTTAGTCTGACGGCAAGGGGACTCTTAACTCAATATGCGTTTACCACTGAGGATATTTTACGCCAGCACCGTGGTTGGTGTGAGCGGGATGCGGAATTCATATCGTTGGTATTCGAACACGGTTCACCTCATTGGAAGGCGGACGCTCTATCCCCTGAATCACCACGACTCTAACAGCAATATAAACCACTAAATAATCAATACTTTTTATCTCATAATTCTATCGTTGTTAAAAATTGGGAAGATAATCAGAATCGCTGCATTCACAAAACATGTATGCATTTCAATTAATCTATTACAATTAAAGTTTTTATATATAAAATAATAATATGTTTGCATTTTAAAATTATTGGATATTTTCTCCTTTTGATTATCACTCTTTAGTTTTTTATGAAAAGATATCTGCACAATTCGTGCTTATCTATATTTATTTTATTAATTATTTCAGGATTTTGAATTCCATAAATGAGTGCTCAAAAATTTTAAGCAGCTCCTGATAAATTTTTACACTTAAATCATGTTACTACCACGCCTTTTAACAAAAATTAGTACTCAATCGAATTTTTTCGTCAAATATTGGAACAATTTTATTCAAGAAGGACGTCTAATGAACATAGTCAGTTTGAGATGAATTTTTGCTAATGTTTCGTTTAATGGTTGTAGCAAAAACTAGCTAACATTAGTAATTTAGTTTAAAAAAAATATATATTTTTCTATTATTTTTTTTTTTAAATAAAATTTTTAGTACACTTGCGGAATAGTTTCAACTATTGAAGATACATTCTGTTTTGTGACGAGAAGAAGATTTTGGTGAAATTATGTGGAAGGGGGGGGGTAGTAAGTAAAGCACGCAGACGAAAAAATAAATAAATAAGGTTCCATATGGCTATTTTCGCTCAAGGAATTTATAATTAAAAATATTTGATCCATTCTGTCCATTAGGCAAGAACATTTAAAACGAAATTAATCATGACTTAAGGTTTTTAAAAGTTTGAAAAGTGACAACTATTTCATTAGAAAAAAAAATTAGGCAGAAATCCGCAATATTATATTTAAACTATTTCGATAAAAACAATTTCATATAATTGAAATGTTATTGCGAGATAGATGATAGGACTTTTGTTCCTTTTTTAAAAAAAAAAATCGAATTTGATGAAATAAAGACGTAAAACATTTATTGTGGTAAAATTTAAAAATCTATTTTAGTACTTATTAAATTTAATTTTTTAAAATTGAAATGAGAGCTAAAATGCGAAACTATCCACTTAAAAAGAAGTTTTACTACAACTTCTTTTTATGGCTAATCAAAAATATTGGAATAGTCTTTCAACTATTCAGAGTATGCTTTCAACTATTCTGAATACTGTCGTGCAATTCAAAAAACTACATAAGTGCTTCACGATTGATTCCGATAAAAGTGACTTGACAACTATTTTCCATCTATTGCTAATGCTATGAACGCTAAAATTGAATTTCAAAAAGCTGACTAAACGAAATTTATTTTTAAAAAACAATTTTTTTTGTGGTATGTCGCTTACCGTACAAAATGCCAAATATATAAATATTTCAATTTTGAATTTTCTATCGCTTACGTTAATTTTTCAATTGCACGTCAGAATAGTACTCAATCGATTTTTCAGATTCAACGGACTAAATCAAAATCCCAGAACTCAAATAATGCCTACACAGATCAGTGCAAAATAGGTCTTTTGAATAATGATTTTGACCCTGATGTCACTTTGATGAAGGATTCGTCTTGGGGAAGTATATTAAGAACAACAACTGACAGAATGGGTGCTCTCATCAGTAAAAGTTTTCTTCGCCTAAAGAGAAATATCCCGTAAGTAATCCAAATAAAATATATCATTTCATAATCTATAGTAAAAAGACATTGCCCCTAATTGTTAACCCAAAACCTTTATCACATTCTATTCCCTATGAGTTATAAAAAAAGTAATGTTGATCACAACTAGGTGATATTTTTAAAATAAGTAAAAAATAAAAAATAAAAAGAATTAATTAAAAATTGATAAAAAAAAAATTGAAGTTACGGCCATCAACCAATATTTTAAGAGCAATTTTCCTTAACTTTTAATGATAGAAATCGTGCTGAAATGTTCTCATACACATTTCCTTTGCTAAAGTTAATGTTCAATAGATCATCAAGCTTGCTGGCTACAATAATGTTAGAGGAAATTAAAAGTTCTCTTCCAGAAAAAAAGCTAAGTTTAAAAAGTTATCTACTATTTATATTTAAACTTAGTTTTCTATTCCAAAGAAGAAATTTTTTTAAAAAAAATTCGTATTTTAAATGCATTAGGAATTTATCTTTTCAAAATGGAGGTGTCCCTTGCTTTTGATATTCCTTGATTTAATGTTTGTCTTCTTTCTCTTTGGTTCAACTAAATTTTCAATGCAATTTTATACATTTCTAAAGTAAATATTAGTTAACTTTTATATTAAATTTATTATTATAATTTGATTAATTATAACTTTTTACAAAATAAAATTCAACAAAAGTTGTTAAGTTTTATAAAACTTTCATATTACTATTTTTATCTTAATTTATAATAAACCATAGCTATCATTATAAAAATTTTTTTTACTTAGATAATGAATAATAGTTTATTTAAACTAATTTAAAAAAATATGTTTTATGTTTATTATGGTTTACTTATACTTAAATTTAAAATCTATGTTTTAAATTTAACTTCAGCAAATTTGTATGCAATTTCTTTGGAATAAAAAGAAGCCGATAGATCTTTGCAGCAAAACGTACCATAGTCGTAATCAATTTTATGTTTTATTTTATAAAAATGTCTATTGACTGAAGTTAAAAATATTTAAATTTTGTATTAGGCTTTCAGAAGTCAGGTTTACGGAACATAAAAAGCTTTTAGGAATTTTTGCTAAATATTCCGAAATATAGTTATATAGAAATAGATGATATTACAAATTTAGCGCGAGTTTGTGAATATGAATCATTTCCTTTCGAAAAGCTACAAAAAAATTCTACGCCGACCGAAATAGTATTGGTATACTTCTGTTATTATGTATATGTTACTAGTTTTTTGTATGTTAATTTTGTGTGTATTCAAACAGCAAATAAAAAATATGAGCAGTAATTTCCGAAATTGACTAATATAAATAGGTTATTCCAAGTTTAACTGTTTGGTGACGTGATATAGCTCTGATAGGGTAATGATTTATAACAATTTCATTAAAACAATATAGCGATTTAGTAAGAAATTTCTAAAACGTAACGTAACGCAACGGATAATAATGCGGATCCTAAAGCGGATCTAGACTCCATGCTGCTGGTGCAAGTCAAGTGCTGGTGGTGATAGCATTTAATATGAGTACGCTTTAGGCGTTCTATTTCTGTGTACTTTAAAATATGCAGAGCTTACTTGCTTTTGATATTTTTGCTTTTGTAACTTAAATATGAGTTGCTCAAAACTTGCTTCATTTTGTCATTTGTAAAAATTTTACACGATAAAAAATTCTAGAACTGAGCTTTTTAGTATTTTTTTTTGTTAAATTAGTTTTCAAATGTTTTTGTAATTCTTTCACCCGATATACTACTACTTCAACTTGTTTTTCACCGCTTCTTTCGTTTCGCGGAATTTTCTTGCTTCAATATTTTTTTCTGTTACGTTCTTCCTTTGTTCCTTCAAGTGATAACTAAATCAATTGAATTCTAAAACATGACATCTGCTTCTACATCTGACATTTTTCAATTTAAAATAACTTTGAAGGGGGCCCAACCTCTCATATGGCGTCGTATTCAAATTTCTAAAAATGCGACTTTTGAAAAATTCCATTTGGCTGTAAATAAATCCATGGGTTGGAATGAATCGCATGTGCACGAATTCCGTTTAAAGACTAAGACTGATGTCATTGGCCCTAAAGATAGAAGTTGTTTTATTGACGCTATGTGTTGGGATAACGTACTTGGAAAACGAAATATCCTGGATGAATCTAAGATTAAGATATCTACTCATTTTAATAAGCCGAAGGACTCGATGGTGTACGTGTATGATCTGGGTGATAGATGGACACATAGCATTGTTTTAGAAGATATCCTGCAATCTCTTCCTAAGAAAAAATATCCTGTTTGTCTGGATGGCAGAAGAGCTTGTCCTCCTGACGATTGCGGTGGAGAACCTGGTTTTAAAGATCTGCTTGAAATTTTGTCTAATCCTCGCCACCCTGAATTTAAAGAAAAGAAGGAATGGTTATGTTATATTGGTAAAAGAAATTGGAAACCTGAAGTTTTTGATGTTAAGTCTGTCAAATCGTGAAGAAATGTAGATTGAGGTATCTTACTGATGTGATATAAGAGACTAATAATTATTTTAGCTCCAAATTAATAATTATTGCAACTTTAAACAAAATAAGAACATTTTGTTTCTTTAGTGAGAATATGTCTTTCTTTAAAATGTAACTTTTGTTTTATGTAATAAATAAATTTATTAATTGTGCATATGTAAGTTTTTATTCTCTTGGTAATGTCTTGTATGATTAAGATTGAGGTTTTTTTTATTGTTGGCAAGGGTGTCAAGTTGCACTTTGTAAAAAAAAAAAACATTCTCTATTTAACATTATCAACAAACTGACATTTCATGGAAAATTTTTGAGTTGAAGCTCTATTATACATATTATCCAATAATCTAAAAGAAAGTTTAGTTTGCTAGAAGCACATTTTATAAAATGTAAAGCTACTACTAATTCTATTTCTACTCGTATACTATAGTATGTATTTCTGTAATTGAATTTTTAAGTTAAAGCTCTAATTTAATCACACATTAATGTTTCATGCAGGAAAAAGATAAATCTCTCAGTGAAACTTTTTTTTCAATTAATTTGTATTTTACATGGTTCTGTATTTTAATTTTTTAGATTATTGTAGAATTTTTAGATTTTTCAAAATTTGATTAAAGAAAAAAAACCTTATATTATTTATCTAGATATTATTTTGCTACTGTGAGTAAATAGAAATAAGCAAAATTAATAGTTTCTGGCTTAACCTACTTTTTTAATCTTACACTGTATACTTTTTAAACTCACCTGTCCTTTTCGTTTAAGGGGGGGGGGGAATTAAACTCCTACTAAATAATGGCCTAATCAGGATTATATATAAGAGAAATGTTGTAAAATGAAGAATGTGTATGACAACTCAATAAAAGTTTAGATATTGCAATTAGTTTTAAAGTTTCATTATTTTATTTAATTTAAAGTTCAAACCCAATGACAAATGTTATAAATATTATTACTATTAAATTTGATTTGCATTTTACTTTATATTTAGGCCTTTGCAAGATAGTGCATTACTGTGTATTCCATATAAACTTATAATGCTTGAATCGTGTAAAAGTTCTCTATATATTTGTTATCCATATATGCCTGATTGAATTTATAATATTTTATCTGAAATCTTACTTAAGCACTACCCCAAATTTTGACCAAAATATTGATGGTACAAAAAACTAACTGTACAAAAAGGTGAGAAAAGAAAATTGATTATATTTTATAAGGATTCACTCTTAGTGAATTTCCATAAATAAGAATTCATCAACCTAACTTTGCTTATTATTTTTCTAGTCTTGCCTATTTTCAGTTAAAAAGCTTGCAGCAGCTATTGTGTATCTAGATAAATAATCAATAAAAATTGAAATTACAATGAAAGAGTTGAAGTCATTTATATAACTTTAAACACTTGTTTAAAATTTTTAATGGAATCTAATAATTAGTGCAAAACTATTCCCTGCTTTATGCTTTTTTGGTAGTAATGGTTAAAACTTTTGATTTATTGTATTTAAAATAATTTTTTAACAGATTAATAGTAGTTATATTAATATAACATTGGAAAAAGATATTTGGACTTGTACAATTGTCATTCAGATATATCTTTTGTATACTAACATACCTGGCAAGGCATTTAATCTTGTTTCTTAATGAAAATTATCAATGAATTTACAAATATAATTATAAAGGGAGAGTGAAATATTAAACACATTATTTACGTATCAAGTACAGTAGCTTACACAGTCCTGGTTGGGCTTTGCCCTTCTCCAGAAGTTTTCTCTTGGCATCTCTACATTTGGCTATTTCTCTCTGGTTCTTAATCCTATGGATGTAATAGGCCATTTCCGACACAGGCAATCTATTTTAGCATCTCTCTACTCCGTGCTCTTTCCCCCATCAGCCTGTCTGTTGAAAAGCAACAGCATCAATCTTCGCAGATGACCAGCTCTTTTAATTGCTGAATATTGATGACTTTTACGGCTCTTCAAATATTTGAGGTTCTTTAAATATATTGTAGAGCTTTAAATTATTTCTTCATGAACTGTTTACCTGGGACCCAATCAAAAATGTCTATTTCTATCCATATAGGTCTAATATGTTTTTCTTTTTTAAATATATAGTATTAATTATTTTAATAATATTCATTTGGAATTTGTCAGAATTGATTGAAAAAATAAGCAACAACTTCTATCAAATTTGTGGTCTGATTTTAGTAAAAAAATTTAAAAACAATTATGGGAAAAAAGGGTAAAAAGCACAAAAATAACAACCACTTTATATTTTTAAGAAAAATTCCTTTTAATGAAGCTGGCTTGGAATTTTTAACAACAAATAATGAGAATATATTAAGATATTACAATTTCACAAAATATTGCAAAAAAAAATTTTTTTTTTAAAAGTGGTTGTCATCCCAGTGTTAACATGTTCTTTAATAATTATCTTTAACAGGTTAGTTTTTTTCCAAGTATTTGTTCCAGTTTTTCAAGTCATAGTTTTCTGCTTATGTGTTGGTGGTGAACCTTTTGACATACCAATTGCTGTAGTGAATCTTGAAGAAGATCCTTTAGGAGAATCCTCAAAATTTCTTAAAACAATAGACTCTTATGTAATAACTCAGGTAAATTTCTGAAATGTTATTCTCAAAATTCTACTTTTTAACATTATTTTTTTATTGTGACAAATTTACTCATCCTTCAAATTAAGGTTTCTGCTTTTATTTTAGAGAAATTATTATGATTTGAATGAAGCATATGAGTCAGTGAAAAAAGGGGAAAATTGGGGAGTTCTGCATATTGGACCAAGCTTCACTGATAGTTTAATTACAAGGTAAGAAAAAAACTTCTTCAGGTTCATAAATATTAAATAGTTATTGATTAGCATGTTACTTTCAAATCACTTTTGTTTAATCTCATTCACGCCTGAGAAGTCTTGAAAATAGACGTTCGTTTTTTTGAGCGCATGAAACATATCAACTGTTAATGTATTTTTGAAGTGAAAGAAGTTTTTTTTATCATGTAATATACAACTGTTGTTTAAAATTCGTTATTATAGACAATTGTAGAGCTTCCGGCAAAAAATCCCTTGGTTACCATTTTGTTGAGGAAAAAATCACCTGATGTTTCCATTTTGCTGGGTAGGTGAGCCTGTGTGTGTCTAGGATTCATTGAGCTATGTTGGCATTAGTGTTGAGTACGGCAAGAAATATACCCTATTTCTTCCACTCCTATATTTTATTAAACAAAAATTCTTAAAAGAAAATACAAAATTGCTACATATTTCTAAGACATAAACTCGAATTCCATTGTATAAGTCAAAAGTTATTTGGAGACAAATAAAAACGCTTTCACCTAACTCTCCATTATACAAAATCTATCCAATTCTTATTTCAAAACGTAACAATTAGCATAGCTACTAGACTTGTAGTATAGAGCTGCTAATGCTAAGACATGCGAGGCACAGGTTAATTGTAAGACATGAGATTAAGCGTGTCATTCTGGCCCTCAAAGTTGGGGGTTTCGGTGTGAAGCTTAACAGACTTCCCCACAAAAAATCTCAAGTTGATAAAACAGATCAGATCTCACCTAAATGACTTGGAACAGAAAAAGATTTAATATTTATAAATTAATATTTATTTATTAATGTTTAAAAAAAAATCTGTTTGACTTTGCTATTAAGTAGCTATTCAACTTTAGATTACATAGTTGTGTTTTCTGTTTCATAATACTTTAATTTTTTCTTACCTCTTATTAATTCGGGTAGAAATTTGCAATTAAAATTTTGAGCTCTTTCCTTCTGTCTGTCTAGATCAATCTTATCTCTACTGGAGCTCTGTGTCTGATGACAATGCAAGTTTCTAACATTTTCTGACTGCTATCATAATATGCTAATCGAACCATATCAATGATAGAATTTGTCCTCAATCGAAATATGACCATTTTCTGGCCAGACAATTAACATATAAATTACAAAACTAATTTTACATTTTTCAAATTCCAGGGAATACCTAAATTACTATTGCTATGTAATCTAATTGACATTGCATTTTACAGTACATTTTTCCATTTTAATTATTTTATAATTAAATTACTGTACATATTAAATGATATTGTAATTTAAGCAATCTTTTATTGAATACAATTCTTAAATTTGAGATATTTCAATATTCTTTTAATTACAGATATATTCAAGGAATAGAAGCAGACAATGATACAATTGGCAACAGCACCATCAACCTATATTTAGACATGACAAGTAACAATTATTATGATTATTAAAATTTAATTATTGATTTTCAATTATTGGGTGTGAATATTTGCAGTTAAGTGTTATTATAAACTGCTTTAAAATATAGTTTAAATACAAGTTGGGCAAATAAAAACCATCAATTTAAATTTCAACACATTTTTATTCACATTTTTATTCAACACATTTTTTCATTAATTCATTATCTAGTGTGAGGCAATAAACATTAATCTTGCTATCAAAATTTCAACCGCACTCCTAATAGCTAGAACACTCGAATCTGAAGTTGAGTTTCCTGCCTGATGCAAGTTTCAATCATTTGATGAGTGATACAGACAGAATTTACCACTAAATTTTTGCCAAAGGTTCAAAATTTTCATCAATTGTCACACAAAGGTTTGACCACTTTCAATTAGTTAAAGTAGTCAAACTTTAGGTGATGCTGTGTGCTCAATAGCTATATGAGTTATTTCGTGGATGCTGTGAGAAAATTTAATTTCAATATATTTATCACCAATCAAAATTCTGTTCATTTTCCATTGCAGATAAGTTGGCAGACTTAAATTTTAAAAAAAGGAAGATAATGAAATGTAATGACACATTTCTTCACCACATTTTTCAAGTGAACTATAAAAGGGAAATAATGTCTGTTTTTTTTATTTTTTTTATCAAACCTAAAAGAAATAAAGTGGAGATTTTAGGTGATGTATCTCACCACTTTGGTACTTTAATCACCATCTCTAAAATCCCCTCCCCATTGTTTATAAAAGTGATATGCTCTTTTCATTTTTGTTTTATGTGTGACAACAATGAAATTTACTTCATTTTTTAAGTATGTTTGAGAAACATAGCTTTTAAATTTTTTTTTCCTCCATTATTTTTCTATAGTATTTGTATTAGTCCTTCTTAATATTATTTACTGTTATTAGGTTTTCATTTTGCTCATTAGTTAAAATCAAGGGTTTATCTGAAATGGTGGCATTACGATAAAACTTTATTACCTACATTTTATGATAAACATATTTAGTAAACATTTTAAAACTCTTAAATAATGTAAAGTAAGGTAAAACAATGTTAAAGAGCACAAAAAATATATGAAATGCAGACAGCTGTTTCGGATGCTCAAAGGGCAACCTTCATCAGTTGAACCTTCATCAGTTGTTGCACTGATGAAGGTTGCCCTTTGAGCATCCGAAACAGCTGTCTGCATTTCATATATTTTTTGTGCTCTTTAACGTTGTTTTACCTTACTTTGTATATCAGCACAAAGGTTGCCCTTATGTGTATTCTTAATTAATGTATTTACTTTTTAATAAGTTATCTTTACTTTTATAATGAATTTTCTGTAAACTATATCTAGTCAACATATACAATAAAATTATTTATTACTATGTTTTCCAAAGAGACAAAAATGAAATACTAATTGCAGGGGTCTGTCTAGGTTTTTCTGAGAGGTACCTATTTTGTGAAAATTTAGACATAATATGTGAAAAATTAAAAATGATATTAAAAAATCAACACAAAAACATAGTAAAAATATAGATTTATCGTTTCTTAAGGATACAAAAATAAAATTTTAAGAAAAAGTACTTTGTGAAACAACCGTTTTTCCTAAAGTTGAATTTGTGAAACTACCGTTTTTCCTAAAATTGAATTTGTGAAGGTACCGCTAAACGGTAGTAAATTCAACGTGGACAGACCCCTGAATTGTAAAACAATGATAAGCCACAAAATTATATTTAAAAAACATATATATATTGGAAAATTTACTTAAAAGATGAGAGTTCTCATTTTCTCTAGCTTAAAACTAGAATATCCCCGATTGCATAAAAGTGACAGCAAATTTTGTACTTTATGACTTGATTAATGGATCAATTTCAAAGTATTTTCACTATTACACGTACAAATAATTAGAAGTTATACATGAATGACTTGATAATTCTGTTGTAAGTTGTAATTTTTTCCCTAAATTTCAGCAAAATTTTGAAAACGAAAAAAAAATCATATAAAATAATTTGCACAATATTTAAAAATTTTCAGCCTGTAAACAAAGCCTTAAGTATTGTATTTAGCTTATTAAGATTTTAATTCGGCTTTCAACATGTTTTATTTCATGCTTAAATTTTTTTTTTTTTTATGCTTTTCAGACCAGCAGCTTTCTGCTACAATTTTTTCTCACATCATAGCAAGCTTTCAAACATTTGCTGAAAATGCACTTCGCACTTTTAAATACAATCCTCTCATAGCTACTTCACCCATTGTAGTAAGTATATTTAATAGGGACTCAGACTCACGCATATTTTGCTTACACTTTTGATTGCTTTTAAATCATTTTTGTCACTCAACAATTAATAAATTGTTACATCAACATTAAATATTTAATTAACAGATCCATAATTTTTCATTGTATTAACACAGATTTCGTTTCATAGATTAAATTGATTCAGTTTGGATATAATACTAATTGTTAGTACTTTTCAGGGTATGGTACAGCTTAAATTGCAATTTATTATAGAAATTTTTGTTACTTATCAATTTGTAATAGAATATCTATTATGTTTATTTATGTTAGTAAAATGCTAAAAATAAATTAATGTTTTGATATCTTAGAATTTTAACATAACATGATTCTTTTGTTCTTTTTTTTAAGCCTAGAGTAGGGATGCACAATCTTTTTGAGTGAAGGGCCACTTGCACAGCAGGTTGACTAACGAAGGGCCGCATGCATATTTAGTCATGTTGGTGGCAAATATAATAATTTTTATCTCAAAATTGGTGCTCTGAGCAATAAATATTTTCATAAACATATTTTCTTAAAATTAAATACTTTAATTATTAAAATTCATTCAATAAAAAAAAAATTAATAATATGTTCTATTCTTTGAGGAAAAGCGATATTATAAACTCTAATAAAAAGAAAGTATAATGTTCATAGAATAAATGTGTAAAAAAAAATACATACATATTTAAATGAGTAATATAAATTATAACTAAATATTTTAAAGAAAATTTATAGGGTTTAAATAAAAATCAGAACTTAACCACTACAGTACATATTATGATTCCATATTTTGTGAAGAGAAATTAAAGAGATTCTCAATTTTTACTTTACAAAAAGAAAGAAATATTGTGTTTAGGAGCTCTCGCGGGCCGCACATCAACAGTCGGCGGGCCGCATGTGGCCCTCGGGTGGCAAGTTGTGCACCCCTAGCTTTGAGAATAATTTATTTTATTTGAATAAATATGATATTTAATTTATTTATTTGTATAGCTGGGTGAACCCATCTATGGAAATCTCGTTCCAAATTTTACAGAATTCATGGCACCAGGCATGATTTTAGGGTAAGAAAATGTTTGTTTTAATTGCATTGTAATTTCATTTGTCTTAAAAAAAAACTGAACATGTTAATATATGAATTTAAACAGATTTATCATTTTATGAGTATTTAATATACAGTACAGAACCCATTATCCGGAAATCAGAAAACCAAAAAACCGGAATGAAATTCGATAAATTTTCCCGCAATTTAAAAAAAAATAATAAAAATTTTTTTTTCCTCATAAGATTTTAGGATTTTTCTTTCTTTTTTGAAAGATGCTTACCTTACCATCATTTTGGAAATGATCATTAGTGTATTACTTCATCGTTTTTTCTTCGTTTTAAGATTATTTCCAAATATTTTTTTTAGTTGGGTTTAGCAATAAAAAAACCCGGCTTTTTGTAGCGATTCAGAAAACCGGAAAAATCAGTTATCCGGAATAGCGATGGTCTTGATCGTTCCGGATAATCGGTTCCCTACTGTATTATTTTAGTTTTGAACATGAATATTTAAAAATGAGGAGATTTTAAAAATAATTCAAAATATTTATCAGGAAAAAATCTATCAACCAGATTCAATATTCTCTTGTAATGTGTTTTTAAAATTGAAGTAAAAGCAAAAAGAAAACACAAGATTTTTTAAAAAAAAATGTTTCTTTTTTTAAAGGGCTTGTGTATACGCCTTATCATTCTCTCGTGATAAGGCCTCCCTATATATCTGTAATTTTTTCTTCTTCATAATTTAAAGTAAAGCAACAGTATAATTAATTACTAATTTTCTCAATTGTGATGAATAAACTCTATTTCTATTGAAAATGCTCACTGCAATTAATATATCCATACTTGCCAGTTTATAAGTTACTGTCGAAGAAGTCTTGCAATATTTATGTTTGAAAGTATAAATCTTTATTTTTAATGTTCATAATGTAATTGTTTCACTCACTGTGATTAATCAATAAGTTTAATGTGTGCATATAAGATAAGAGTTAGGCAGTTATGCTTTTAAATCTTGGCAAAGCAGAATTAATTTTAAAAAATGTTTCTAAATTTAATTATTTTACTGCTACTCTTTAAAATCCTCCCTAACGACCATACAAGTCTGTAGTGATTTGTGCCTAGCTTCCTTTTGAAACATCGGATTAAAGGTATAAAGGTTTGTTTATGGAAAAAGTAGTGTTATTAACTAAGTGGATATTTTCTGTTGGTCACAACAACTTGAAAAGAAAGTACTAGAGATGTGAAAAATAATGATTTAGCCGAATAGCAACCATTTTTTTAAAAATCCTTAATAAATAATATTAATGATTTTTTTTAACATTAATAACTAAGTGTAAATAATTTAATATATAAATTAGTTTAGTCATTATTGAAAAATAATCTAAACTTAATTATGTTATTAGTATGAGGTAAAGGAAAAAAGTTATGATAGATATATTTAACATAATAAAGATAATTAGACAGTTAGATAATTAGAATTATTCAAGATACTAAATAAATGCTGATACTAAGACATGAATGCATCATTTTTTATTTATTTTCAATTGACATTTCAAAAAGATGTTGGTGTTAATACATTGTAGTTTTTCATGTAGTAATTTAATACAGGTATTTTATACAACTGAAGGAATGGGAGGGAATAATTTTTATCACTACTGCAAAATAAAAAATTTAATGTAAATCAATACTAAGGATGTAAACCTAGCCTAAATAAGTAGAAAGTAATCTTAAAATACAGCACGGAACCCGTTATCCGGAAATCAGAAAACCGGAAAACCAAAAAACCGGAACGAATTTCGATAAATTTCCCGGCCATTTAAAAAAAAAAAAAATTTTTTCCCCCATAAGATTTTAGGATTTTTCTTCCTTTTTTGAAAGATGTTTACCTTACCATCATTTTGGAAATAATCATTAGTGTATTACTTCATCGTTTTTTCTTCTTTTTAAGATTATTTCCAAATATTATTTTTTTTAGTTGGGTTTAACAATAAAAAAAACGGCTTTTTGTAGCGATTCAGAAAACCGGAAAAATCAGTTATCCGGAATAGCGATGGTCCCGATCGTTCCGGATTATCGGTTCCCTAGTGTAGTTTCATTATAAGCCAGGACTCCCAATTTTCGAGAAATAAAAAGAACAGTCCTAAAAACAACTCAGTTCTACTTTATTTCAAAAGAAATAAACAATCCTTGACTACCACTGTTAATTAACAATTGAAACATACTGTACTTTTGAAAGTTTACAAAATTTATATATAATAAAACTATTAGTAAGTAGTGGTATTTATTAATAGTTTCGTTCTCCCAAAGAAGTGTAAAAAATAAAATGATAGTGCTCCCAGTGTTTTGACTTTTTATTTTTTAGTTCAAAAGTACATGTTCTTAACTGCTATCCCCTTAAAAAAAAATTTTTTTATTCAGAAAATTATAGCAATTTAAGATGAAAATCAACTATAAAATATTTCTTTAATTTTATTGGTTTTATTTTCTTACAATTTTAATCTTTTCAGTATTACGTACATGATGGCGGTAGGACTAAGTTCCATGTCAATCATTATTGAGAAGAAAGAAGGTCAGCTAGATAGATCTTGGGTTGCTGGTAAGTTTAGTTGTAAAATTATTTGAAAACTTTATTACATAAGCACAAATATTAATTCTAAATACACGGACGGCATAGGGCTATCAGTTTTTGTACATCTCATTAATGCCTTTATTTCAAAGGAAGTAAATTATCTGTGACTACCACTATTTATTAATATTTTAAATTTACTTGTAAATGTTTGTAAAAAAAAAAATTTGCAATAATATCCCCAAAAATGAGTAAAAATAAGATATTTATAAAACCGGTATTTTTTTATTTTATTAATTAGTAACTTTTATGCTTTTACTTATAGAATTTAACTTAGCAGAAATGTTATTTAATTTTGCTGTACTGGAGTTCAAGCAAACACTATTCTATCAAAATTAAGTACACTTATATGAAATTAAATAATTTTAAGTGTTTGTTTTCTTCTGTAATTTTTTTTGAAAATTTTTTTTTAACTTTCTCTCCTCTTTTCTTATGATTATCTGTAATTAAAGTACTTGAAAATGTAATAAATGATATTAAAATTATTAATGGTGATTTTTTAAGTTTAAATTTGGCCCAATGATGATAGTTTTTGGAAAAGATAAAATATTGGTTGTAAGAACATTTTAACTGTTTGTTTTCTTCAATTCTGTCTTTCTTGAGAGATTGAACATTTTAAATATAATTTTTTAAAAGAAGTAAATTGATATAGAATTATTCATATATATCTTATTGCTTATAATGCATGGATATTTCATGATGAGTGAAATGTCCTACTTTATTACCGTTGTATAAGTAGATCTTCTGATTTTCATAATTTTTAAGGAGGTTGAAAAGTTGACTTATATACCGATATATACAGTAATTTTTTTTATTTTAATTATGCTTAGTGCCTTGTGCCGAGAAAACTTCAAAGCAAAATTATCTTACAATTTTGAAAATATTAGAGTAATTGTGAGCATTTTAGGGTAATAATTATGGGTTAAGGTAATTTAAAAAAAAAAAAAAAATTAATATATGACTAAAGGGCTGTACGAACCCTTTACCCTGATACTATATAAATGATCTTCCTTAGCATTTTTATGTATTTTGCAGGAGTCAAATCTTGGGAAGTTGTGTTTTCCATCTTCTTTTCTCTTTTTATCGTCATGCTCCTACAAGTAACTCTGGTACTTATCTTCACATTCCTTGTATTTAACATTCCTACTCTAGGTCCTCTTATATGGGTCATTATTGCAGTACTCTTGGTTGGTCTAGAAGGGATGTCTTATGGTTAGTACTTTTTAGAACTTTGTTCACACTAAATACATTACTTTTTTATTTTATCAAATTTATAGAAATGGGGCTTGGGTCTAAAAAGTAGCAGAAAAACATTTCAACAATATTCTGTTTCTCGATTTAAGATCTCATTCGCCACAAGCTATTAGCATCCTTGAAGACGGAAGAATATTTATTTAAGCATGCATTTTATTATTAATTTCGTAAGTTGGCAACTATTGTTCAAATTTTTAGTTGTAAGGCTCTAAAACTGAATTTACAAAGACTAGTTCAATTTTGAAACTAATTTTATTGAAAACAATTCATTGCTTTCTTGGCCGGTCAAATTTTGGTGCATGAGCTTAAGTTTAAGAATTGGGTAAGATAACATGGCCATTTTCAAAACTCTCAGATTTCTGGATTTAGAAATTTGTTATGGTTGCTAATAGATCATAAGATCTCTTATCTAACTATCTTTAAACAGAAATAGTACCTAAACGTTCTAAGAAAGTATGCATTAATATTGTACACATATTCTGCAATTTGAATATGGTGCTGAGTTCAACCATTTAATCATGCTTCTTAAACTTGATCTAACATACTATGACCAAAAATATGGTTCAATTTAATACATTATTAAGATTGCAGCAAATGCATACTATTTTATAGTTTTGATATTATGGGTCAATATTGAACCGCACAGCATTGTGCATAGCAATATCTAAATCTAGACAGTAATAATGTAATAAAAATTTACGATGAAAAATAGTCACTGGGGATGTTGTTATATTTTACTCTAAATTCAATATTTTCTGTAAAAATAGATGGTAAAAAAGCTTGTAAATGAGTATAATAAATATTCAGTCATCACTGAGACTCAAAGCTGAAAAATGATTGTTGCAAAAGGAATCATCCTGTACTTTGGGTTGTCAAAATAGACTATAGAAACTATTTTGAAAGCAGATACAAATGAGAAGAAAGCTGATTTGCCCTTTTGTTGAATGCTAATCTAGATTTTAAAATACAAGAATTATCCTTTGTGAATTAAGAATAGTGCATTAAAAGCAAAGTTTAAAATTCACAAATAGTAAAATCTTTTATTAAGACCTCTATGAGTTTCAGTGTCAGTATGATATGTGGATAAATGGCAGGGATGGTAAAACAAAGATGATTCAATTTTTCTTCATTGTATTTCATTCTATTATATTTCATGCATTGACCTGGATTTCTGGGAGACTTTCCACATTATCAAAAACTCCATTGTTAATGATCTTGTTACTAAATTATATTTTTCAAAATATTTGGAAATCGTTAATTTTTCAATTTTCCAACACTTACTGTCACTTTAATGTTGTTATTTTTAACAGTATATTTATCTCTGTAGTTTAATGTTGAATGACATTATCTCTATTTTACCATCCCTGTTATTTATCCTATTGATAAAGGTATACCAATTTAACTTTAAAACGTGTATAAGTTTTAATACAATATTTTACTATTTTTGGTTTTTAAATTTCGTTTTTATTTAAATTTTAATCTAGACTACTTTTCTTATATAGTTTACTATTTTTCCTTATAATTTATTGCTAATTAAAAATTACTGATACTGTTAATAGTATTTTACTTCATCAGGGGTCTGTTTAGAAGAAATTTGGGTCTATTAACGGACCCTTCACTAAATATCTATTCATAAAAACGAACCCTTCACAAAATATTTTAACTTAAAAATGGACCCTTCACAAAATAATTGATCTTTTAATTGGACCCTTCACAAATTTGTTTATCTTCATTATTGTTTTTTTAATCGAATAAACCCTTCCCAGGAAGGGGGGGGGAGAAAAACAGATGTAAAACGAACTAAATTTTGTCTTTGGCAGACGCTTCTTCCTTTATTCGTCCAAAATGAATATTCTGCTTTCAGCAGTATAGGCTAAATACCAAATATTTGTATGTTGCATATCGAATTTAGTAGCTGCAATTGCTGCTTATTTTTTAAATTTAATTCTTTTAATTATAATTTTACAGTGTTGAACATAATCTTGTATGTCTTTACAATTTAAAAACTCCTTGAAAATTTTTTTTTTTGCAATAATGACTCTATTTGCACAAATTTACAAAAGCGGACTCTGGTTGAAAGAATCTGGTTCACAAATTACGAATAATTTTTTTCACAATTTTACAAAAACGGACCTTTCACAAAATGCCTGGACAGACCCTTGTTCATGTAATATTTACCTGAAACATTTATTGAATTTATTGCAGTGAAATCTGTGTTTCTCAAATTTACTAAACTGTCACTTTACATGTTCTATCTCTAAGTTCAACATTTTACTCAACTTTTAAATATAGATCTAAAAATGAGCTCTTCACAAATTAAGCTCTTTCATAAAAAAGCTAGAGTTTGCATTTAACTTTAAAATATCTTGCAAAGTTCTCCTTAAAGTATTCATATTGCTTTTTTATATTCAGGGTGTTAAATCATGAATGTATGTTTGAGGATTCAAACATAACAGTATAAACAGACATCTTCAAATAGGATGTTTTAAATATTCCTCAGTTATTTTTATAACCAGAATAAAAAAATTCAGCAATAGCAATTCCATTAAATGTAATTACATTAATTAATCAAATATTGTTTCATATAGGTCTATTTATATCTTCAATAGTCAACGATGAAAATATTGCCATGATGATTGCTATGGGCTCCTTTTATCCCAATCTATTACTTAGTGGTAAGTTTGATTTTTGTATTTAGATCTATTTTTAGCTTTCTCATGCCATTTTTACATTAGGTGCCAATTTCAAACTTTAAGTGATCAGTGTTGCAAATTTGCAATTAACACAGAAGAATTATGTCCTTAATAAAAATGGAAAACTTGATAATTTTGAACTATTTTGAGGTGATTATTATTGATTGATGCATGAAAATTATGTCACTAACAGAAAAAAGGAAATTTAATAATTTCAAACTACTTTATGGTGATTATTCCGGAGCTTATTACATTTTTAATGAGACTCCATGTGAGGTGCATCTGCCCTATCTTCAATCTCCGGGAAGAATGAGTGGCTTTGCCGTGTTTCAGTGCCTCACCGTATATCTAACACTTGTCCATTCTGATGCGGTTGGTCTCCTACCAAGCTGCTAAGTGTATGTTGGGAAGAAAAAAAAGTTGAAAAATAATAAAAACATCAACAAAATTTAAAGTTCAAAATTTGAATTGTTTGACTGAAAAAAAGGATAAAATCAGGAGAATTTTTGAGTAAAGAGTTTTTAAGAATTGTCCCAGGGTTTCATCAAATCTGCAGACGTGGAGTCATATCTAAACTTCTTGATGATCTGTCATTGGGACAGATGTTCACAATTTGGTAAGGACCATAAAACTTTAGTCACAGTTTCACTCCTACACCAAATCTGGTTTTCTTTATAGCTACTTTGTCCCCTACATTATATTTCTTCGCTTTTCGCTGTTTGTTATATTGTAAACTATTTTATTACAGCTTAAAAATATTTGATTTAGCATCTTTTATTTGTTCCTTATTTTGTTGCGACGATTGGAAGTTTTCTTCTTCCAGAGTTTCTTTGATTTTGATGTCATTTTTATTTTTCACTTCGATTCCTGTTTAAAGTTCAAATAATGTATATTTGGTTGATATTGCTCACTCCTTGTTCTGATGATACGTGTCTATACCATTGATTTGAATTTTTGAGTAAGAGTTTCGTTATTATAGTTCTTTGAATTTTTTCAGCTTATCCTTTTCCACATGGTACACCTGTGGTGATTGAAATGCATTCAATATCTTCATTTTGGCAAGACTTTAGAAATTCTGTTGAAGTGAATGCTGTTCCTTTATCAGAAATTATCCTTCTGGAACTTACAAAAGTTGTTGTAATTTCAATTTTTTTAAAGCATCCCATGCTGAAGCATCAGCAACATTGTATGTATATGTATATCAACAATGTATTTGTTAATTTTGTTAGTGAATAGGGGTGGTCATAAAATCTATGTGTTATGTTTCAAGCGGTAAGTCTTCTTTAGGTATTCGGATGTAAAAATCCTTCTTGCTTGCTAAAAAGGGTGATGAGATACGAGTTCACGAAAAGATATTTCGGGTTAAAAGTACTTTTAAGTATTATATCTGTATACAATTTGACAGGGAATCTAAAATTAGTTCATGTTAAAAAAATTCACATTAAAGAGGTTCGGCTGTATTTTGCTTTGGCAATATTAATACAATATTAGAAAGCACTCTTTTTAGCGGATAAAATTGTGTGAGCTGATGACGATATTTTTTCCTTATTGTGTTTTCCAGCTTTTAATTCATTTTTTAAAATTATTTTATAAAAATATAAATATAATTTATTAATAATATTTTTCTCCTTGTTTTCTTTTTTATTTTAGCTTATATATATATCAGGGTGGCCACCCACCTGAAATTATCAGGGAATTTTTTTATTCTGGAAAAATCAGGGAAATTTGGAGAGAAACCTGGAAAAATCAGGGATTTTTTTAAAGAAAAGCTGGAATTTTTTCTTTGATTTTTCTTAATTTTACTAATTTAAATTATTTACTAATTTTCTTAATTAAAATTATTTTACCAACTGTTATACCCACGTCTAGACGAAAATTTATTGCCAAACAGTTGAAATACCATCAACTTAGCAATACTTCGCTTGCATCAAAATTTGGTTCATTATAACCCTGTTAAACTCCCTTGGTTTCTTAAAGAATAGGGAACCTTTCCAGGTCACCTCATTCCCATGGCTAGCTCTCTATCCCATGAGTCAAAGATGATAAAATAACATTAGAAAAATAATATTTTAAATAAAATACTTATATTGACTTTTCTTGCACCCATCCTAAACTTTATGAGGGGAAGAAAGCACATTGACCTGGAAATTTTAGGATTTTTACCTGGAAAAATCAGGGAAATTTGAAACCTGATTTGAGTGGCCACCCTGTATAATTAGGATGGTTTGGTCATAATAGTATAAATTAATAATAATTTGATCAAATTTTTACTCTTTCATCCAGGAATTATCTGGCCTGTTGAAGCTATGCCTCACTACCTCAGACAATTTAGTTACTGCCTTCCCATGACATTAGTGGCAGACTCTATGAGATCTGTACTATCACGTGGATGGACAATCACTGAGAATGATATCTGGGTTGGATATCTAGTGACTCTTGCTTGGATATTTCCGGTCATTCTTATATCTGTTTTCTTTTTCAAAATTAAGAAATGATACTGCTTTAATTTTATGTGACATATAGCTCAAGTAACCTGTGATCTTCTTGTTATTTACAATACCTCTCTCTTGAAGTTTTAAAACGTTACTATCTGTTGTATATTTATTTTAAATGTACTCTGACTGATTTTGAACCAGAAATGAACAACTCCGATTTTGCAAAAAAAAAAAAAACACTTTTGTAATTCAAGTTGTTAAATAGAAGAAATTTGATATCTCTATTGGAGACTAGATTTTAGGAAATGATACAATATATCATTTTTTTTTTATATATATTTTTATTAAAACTCTTTCTCATCAATAAAATAAACTAACAAATTTTTATATGAAACAAACTTTATATATTTTCTGTTTTATTCATTGTACTTGAAAGTTTATTGTACATTCCATTTATTATTAATAAACTTTATACAAATTTAATAAAAATTCCTTTAATGCTTAGAAAAGAGACGGTGAACCTTTTTGGAATAGTATGTCAATCATGTTTTATTATCTTTAGGTATCAAGTATGCCACTTCTTTTTTTAAATATTCTTTCGGTAAAAACTTAATTAATATTGAAATGAAACAATTCTTTTTTTAAAAAAACTTTAAGCCGCTGTACTTTGATTTCAAACTATAGAGTTACGTTGAGTAACTATATTTGCTGCTTGGATATTCACTTGCTTTAAATGTAAATCGAATAAAAAAAATATATTTCAGTTTAATATTGCATCAACACGAAACAAGACTGTCTTTTACAGTTTATATATCAATAAATAATCTGTTCAAAATTTTGCATATTTACTATTACAATTTTTTTTTTCCTTCATAATTCGAGATTTAGTTAGGGTTATCTCTTTACATCTCATTCCATTCTCCTACTTTCTAAAAAAAAAAAAAAAAAAAAAANAAAACTGACTTTTTTTTTCATTATACACTCAAAGGAGATGATATGGTCAGCTTTATGATTTTGAAAATGTAATAATGACCACTGAAATCGGACTTGTTTCAAAATCAGTCTATTATGACAGCTAATATTAAATATGTTTTTTTTAAATATTGTTTTCAGTGCATGTTAGTAATAAAATTAACTTAATTGTGAATTATAACCTAATTCTAATTGAAATAATAACTAATGTAACAATAACTTAATTATAAATAAAAATAACTCCCTGCAGGTCATCCAAATACTGTCGCGTGTCATATAGTGGCGTGTATGTGACAGGTTTGCCTTCTCTGGCTTAGAGCATGATAGGAATATCTAGTTCCTATAGTAGACCTGCCAACTTCTTACCTATTTGCTGAAGTATTCTTTTACAATTATTTTCTAATATAAAGTGGTGGTTTAAAATATGATTTAGAAAGATTTTGATCAACATGACATTTAAATAATTCAAACATATATATATGCATACAGACTTGATAAGCTTGTGATGTAATTATGTGCTGGAAAGATTTTATGAATATTCGCTTAGTTAATTTTAATTTCACTACCACCATAAATATCTTGAAGAGTTATACTTTCTGGTTGACATCTCTATTAAAGGCATTTAAGTAAATGATATATGGCTGGCCAAATTTTCATTTACTTGGAGAACTGGACAGATATCCTGTTTCTTTTAGCTAGTAGAGAATATTCCAAAACTCTTATAGCATAATAGAACTTTTCAAAATTTTCTCTAAATATAGATTTAATGGAAAATTAGTTCATTCCTAAAAAATGTCTGTGTTAAATGTATTAATTGCACCTTAGTTTGAATGATATTCATTTGCTTTGTTAAATCAGTTTGCATATTTTAGATTTTGTATAATTTTATTTAGCAGTTTGTACATTAATTTGTTTCATTTTCTCTTTGATTAAGCATTTTGTAATTTAGTTTTGATCATATTCACTTTGGTAAAACTGTTTGCACTTTACTTTCAATAAGTAGTGAAACAATTTGCTAGCGATTTAGTGCATATTTATAAATTGATTTAAATTTCCCTTTTCAGTTAATCTTTTTTAAATTATTGGAACTTGGTTAAACTAAAGAATTAAAAATTTTATATAATAGCATTATACTTTTCATAGTAATGTACCTGAATTGTAATTATCTGTGTTAACAGTTTTGTATACTAAATACATTTTATAAATGCTTCGATAGCTCCATCTTTTATCGGTATCCAGGCATTTTTTTTGTAAAGAAAATATTGTTGACCTATAGGTATTAGTATAAAAAATATTTTTATAAAAGTATAAATTAATCAATTTCAATCGTGTATTCATATAACACGTTTTTTTTTTCTTTTTTAAATTTTATTTTAAACAAATTAAACATGCTTGCATAAATAATTTTCCATTGAATTATATATTTAAATTAATATTTTAACTTTTCTTCCGATTAATTATTCAGAGTTGGGCATTCCTACACTGTTTTCTTGATTCTAATTAAAGTAATATATTACATCAAGTATGACTGTGTTTACGATAAGTTCCTATAGTTTGTCTAAGCTAAGAACTCCTCCTGCCACAAAGTCTGAGGCCGTTTGGTGCTATGGAAACAAGAATGGCTCATTTTAAGGAGGGTTGCTACACTCTAGGACTAACACAATAGACTGAAGAGATTTCCTTTCTCTCTCCGACCCGACCTGATACCTCTCCAAAATAATGACCCCTCATTTTTTCTTAAAAAAATTTAAAGTAGTAGTGATTATATTAGCATTTATTTTTGAGAAACAGTATTGTATTATTCACCATAATATATATTAATAGAATTATTTAGATATGAAGTAAAAGGACGGTGCTCTCTTAAATCTAATGTGATAATTAACAAAAGTTAATATTCGTTTCTTTTCATACCTTGTATCATGTAGTATATATTCCCCTAAAATTAAGCTTTCCTTTAAATGAAAATTTTACATTATTAGTGGTAGCATTTCAAATTCAAGTATCTTAATTGAACGTGATATCCTGTGAATGTGATAACCATTGTTATCCTGTGCTACATATCATATTATGAATGTACGTTACACATTCCAATATTTTGTTATACTGTTGGTAGTAATCTTCCAAATGCCAAACTCTTATTTAATCATATACTAGTACATATATATATATAACTTCATGTAATGTGTTTTTTTATTATTATTTTCACACTGTTTACTGTTGGTATCATGACATTATTTGTATTTCTAGAACAATTACAAGGGTCACTAGAAAAGTATGTACCCCAAAGCATTGTAAAAAAATTATAAAAATAAATAATTACTTGGAAAGTTTTATTGCAAGAGATACAGCAATAACTACAAGAATTGTAACACTTGTCATACTATGAGATAAGGTATTGTAGCTCCTTCATTGGAGTCTACTCTTCACAGAAATTCTTTTAGGTTGAAGTCACTCAAAACAAGTGGCTGCAGATGCTCAGAGCTAGTTTTCTCTTAATCACAACAACCCTTGTGACAAGGAAGAGCCATATTCAGGCGAGTTGCCTGAATATGGCTGATTCTATACGAAATCTGCAACAAAAATTTTGCTGGAAGGTTTTTTTATGAATAAGAACCCTATAATCTCGATCTTCCTCCCAGTGACTTTCAACTAACAAAGATGTGCTTTGACGTGCTGGCTCTAATCCCAGACGGCAGACTTTTATTACTCTTTACCACAGTCTTATCCCACTGTATGATAAGTTTTACAATTATGGTGGATTTTATGCTGCAAAGTAGAAATGAAAATTTAAATTTTCAGTTCAGTTGGTATTTAGTAATCAGTGGATGGCAAACTCAAATTACCTGGTAGCCACTTTTTCTTTGAATCTAATCAGTTGATAACTGATTTGGTCCTTTTCATATAATAGCCACTTTTTAAAAACTTTTTTTTTTGCTTGGATAAAAATAAAATATATTTTTAAATAAAATTCATATTAGGAATAATCTACGGCTATAAAAAATCAAAATAAAATTTCAGATAAATGTGTGACAAAATTTAGTTAAACATACTAATTTTATAGAACTTTATTTAAAAATATTTGGGGAGATAAAATACATTACTGTTCACATTACACCTTTGAAATAAGTAAATTGTTAGGCAACTCTCCTTCCACATGAATCTTTCCAACACAAAGTGGTGGATTCTGTAGGATCAAAATTTTAAATGGATAGATTATTGGACATCTTATCTCTTTCTACATTGATGTATTTTTTATCATTAAATGATGAAAAGAAAATTATAGGAAAAAGTGATCGATTATTTAAAGTCGCCACTTTCTTCTGTTGACTCACCATGTGGCGAGTGGTTGTTTTCAGGTCTATTACAAAGTATCTGAAATATTACAGTATCTTTTAAGCTTAGCCTTTCCAGGTAATTATGTTTATTTCTTTTTAAAAGCTGTGGGAAGTTTACTTTTGAGATGTCCTTCATATGTAAATATATTTGTTATTTATGCATTACATTTGTATTTTATATATTAAATTCTATATTTTTGCCTACTATGTGTCATTTCTTATAGCAACACATATTTACATTAAAGGCTTAAAAATTATTCCTCTTAATTTTCCAAAGTGATATTTTTTTAGGCTATTTCGTATTTCATTGTGGTAAAATTAAAAAAATTCTTCTTAGAATTAAATGCAAAAAATACTAGATTAATTGATGATGTTAACATTTGATTATTAAATCTTTATTATCTTCTAAAAATAATTTTCAATAAATTTATTTTGCTCTTTAAAAGATAAAAAAGCGGTGGTAAATCACCCTTATTTTTAAGTTCCTCATGAAGTAAGTATGCCAAATATTTATCACAAAGTGTCAGTGCAAGAAAAATATGGAAACTGGTATCACAAGAATGAAAGTATGATTTCATATTTTGCAAAAATATTCATACATGTCTTGAAGATTATTTTAAAAATTATATTCCTAACTGTGCAAAATTCAGAACTCAGTTGTTTTTAAACATCTTAATTTATAAAATATATTTTAAATCAGATTAAAAATGCTATCTAGCTTTCCACTTTATTAATACAGTACAGAACCTGTTATCCGGAAATCAGAAAACCGGAACGAAATTCGATACAATTTTTTTCCTCATAAGATTTTAGGATTTTTCTTTCTATTTTGAAAGATGTTTACCTTACCATCATTTTGGAAATAATCATTAGTGTATTACTTCTTCGTTTTAAGATTATTTCCAAATTTTTTTTTTAGTTGGGTTTAACAATAAAAAAAACGGCTTTTTGTATCGATTCAGAAAAAATCAGTTATCCGGAATAGCGATGGTCCCGATTGCTCCTGATAATCAGTTCCCTACTGTATTTATTTATTAATTTTATGGATAATTCACAGGGGCCATATTATTTGCTTTGGCTTTAAGGGCCATTCGCATTAAATCCTATTGCCCTAAGCATACATATGTAGGTTTAAAAATTAGATATAATATTAGCCGTTTGGGCAAGCATGAATCGCAATTAAGTGCAATCTCATGCAGTGGAAGTTCGAATAAGGATCCTCTATTTCAGTGACTCTAGTTCCGAATTTTTATATCTATATAATCGATTAAAAGTTATTTTGATTTTCAATTTATATTATCTGTCTTTTCCAAAATAAATGTGTAAGCTTATAGCTAGAAAATTTATGTGTACTTAGTATTTCATTTTCAGTTTATTGAAAATTTTGTTTAAAGATAAGTTATCTAAGAAAATAAATATTACTTTGCTAATTTTTTTTAATGAATTAAATTTTCGTAGCAACTTCTTTTTATGCTGCTAATGTATTTTTTGTAAATTTCAGATAGTGAGTTTGTTTTTAATTAATCATTTCCTTAAAAAACTAATGTTTAACAATAAAATAACAAGAACTAACACATCACCTTATAATATCAGTAAATCAAAAATGTAAGAAAAAAAATCCTCTGATCCAACATGTATTTTTGAAAACTTACAAGTTTTATTTTTAAAAAAATAGCCTAAATTTTAAAAGTAGTTTCATAAAACTTTATGTAATTGATTATTTAAAGACTATTGAAATAAAAATTCAGACTCCACATGAAAGTTGCGGGTGAACATTTTATGCAAGTTGAACATTACTGTCATCCAAATAACGTTTTTGTTTTTTCTCTTTTCTTCTTGTTATTGTTTCTAATTTCCCTGAGCACAAATGGCTTGCTCTATCAATTTAAGTACATTTAATCACGATTTTTCGGTTAAATCTATTTCTGATACAGATTTTAAAGTTCCTTGCTCTTTTTTTTTTTTTTTTTACTTTCTTCAAACAATATAAGGTTTTCTTTCAATTTCTGTCCAGCTTGTCTCATATTAAGTTTTTCTGTTCCCTTCTCTTTGGCATTTGAACATTTGATTGCTTTCTTTTTTTACATTTTGGTTTTGCCATTTTTTTTCTTAAATTTGAAGAGAAAAAAAATTTTAAACATCACAGAAATTATTTAGAAAAATTGCCAATATTTACTTCTCCGATAAGAAAAAGTTAAACTTAATTGATTTTCTTTAAAATACAAACAAATTACCACATTTATTCCATTTTAAAAATATTTAGATTACATGNAAAAAAAATTTTAAACATCACAGAAATTATTTAGAAAAATTGCCAATATTTACTTCTCCGATAAGAAAATGTTAAACTTAATTGATTTTCTTTAAAAATACAAACAAATTACCACATTTATTCCATTTTAAAAAATATCAATTAAAAGAAAATAGTTTTTTAATTAAAATTGTATTATGGTTATCTAACACATTGTCTCTTCCATTGACTGTGTCTTCTCCTCCGTGGACTTCACGGAGGAGATGTCCACGGAGGAGACAAAAACTAGTTCTTTTTATTAAATATACTATTTTTGCAATCTAAAATTCATCTATCAAAAATAAAATAATTTTCTCTTACCTTCTTTATGATGCCCACGGAGTATATGATGAGAACTTTGCCAAACCCCAATTGAACACAACAATCCAAAACTGACACCAAAGAGAACAAAAACAACTGATAGTTAACATTAGAAAATGGAATGGTTACCTTTCCTATAGGGATTTCTCATGTGCTGCCCTTTATTGCATATTTACCGAACTATATTAATTGTCCATTGAGGGAGATTTCATTTTTGATGGACAAAGTTTACTAGTCATTTATTTTATAAAAATGTTAAATAAAAAGTTACTATAAACATTTAACTAGGTAAAACTACAAAAATCATTAAAATAACATTTAAATTGTTTAACAGCCATTAAAATTATTTTGTGTCACAGACGTAGGGACGTCCACGGGGGGGATTTTGAAGTTATGTTTATTAAAAAATAAGAATGAAATATTAAATACATTTAGCAGAAATGCATATGATTTGTTCATTAGAACTTTACGAAAAATGATGAAGAAAAATTTTAAGAAATCTGCTGTATTTCCTAATATTTATTACTAAGGGACTTAAAAAATCACCTTTTTGTGAGAATGACCCAAATAAGCATTCACAAGAAAAAATTATTAGTTTTATTTTCTGAATTATAATTAACTTATTTTATTATTAGGTATGAAAAAATGACATCTGTATTAAAAACATCGGCTGATAAGTATCTTTAGTATACTATCTAAAAAATTTGAGTGTTCATAATTAAGAGCATTTGATAGGAAAATTAGTATGCTATTTGCAATGGTGAATACAATATGGGATTTATAATATATTACAGTACAGAACCCGTTATCCGGAAATCAGAAAACCAAAAAATCGGAACAAAATTCGATTAGTTTTCCCGCCATTATAAAAATAAAAAAAAAATTTTTTTCATAATAAGATTTAAGGATTTTTTGTTCTTATTTGAAAGATGTTTACCTTACCATCATTTTGGAAATAATCATTAGTGTATTATTTCATAGTTTTTTCTTCTTTTTAAGATTATTTCCAATTTTTTTTTAGTTGGGTTTAACTATAAAAAAAACGGCTTTTTGTAGCGATTCAGAAAACCGGAAAAATCAGTTATCCGAAATATTGATGGTTCCGGTATAATCGGTTCCCTACTGTATTTTATTATAATATTTAAAAAGTTCATTAGAATTTTAATGCATTGAGAGAAACTCTCTTTTTAGAGAATTTAATAACATATTCATTGCATTAATTCTAAATTTTTACTTTTATTACTATCACTTATACAAAAATTATTTATGCTTTATAAATAATATTATTTTAATTAAGGTAGGTAACCCAAAGGTGAGCAGTTCTTTTAAGGTGTACACCACCTCCCAAAAAAAGAATCAGAATTATTTTTAATCGCTATACAGTGTTACTGCATTATAAACAATCCACAAGCAGAGCAAGTCGCTGAATTTGAATCGTTTATTGTAATACCGCACCATTGTATACACATTTTACTTTTTAAAAGAAGCTGCACTAATTTCAGGTAAGGAGATAGTATTTAGATTACATGTGTTTAATTTCACAGAACATTGAATTATGAAATATTTTCAAAAGTTTATTTCTTTTCAACCATTATGTTATAATACAAAGTATAATATTAAATAAAGTGCAGTTTTTATTAACCATATAATACATTATATGCGAACCGAATAATACATTATACAGAATAACATATACCATATACAGAATAATAAAATACAATAATTTGTGCAGGACATTTAAATTTCACTGAACCATTATAGGAAAAGGACTATAGTAAATAAATATCTAACCTGCACACTTACATATATAAACATCCAACAATAAAATTATTTCATGAATATCCATGAATTGGAAAGTTATTACAAATGTCACATTAAAATTATTTGCGTATTTCATTATTTAGTATAATAAATTGGCAAAATACAGTTTTTAGAGTTAAAAAAAAAACCTTAAGAGTAATTAACTAATTTCAATTTTTTAACAGTTTGAGTTATCTTTTGCGTTCTTTTTTATAAGTTACACAATCCAAGACGCTCAAATGTGATTAACAAAATTTATATTAAGTAATAATTTAAAAAACTGTAATGATACTATTCATATATTATACTGAATATTATTCATAATATTCAGTACAGTAATATTTCTGTAACATAAATACTATAAGATTTATAAAATGACGAAGAAAAAGTTTACAAGAAATTGATTTTAAGAAGCAAATATTACTTTATCTATATGTTTCATACTTTCAATTAAACCAAATTTACTTCAAAACATTCACAGGGGGGCCACTCAAATCTGGTTTCAAATTTCCCTGATTTTTCCAGTAAAAATCTTAAAATTTCCAGGTCAGCGTGTTTTTTTTTCCTTATGAAGTTTAGGTGGGTACAAAAAAAGTGTCAATATTATAAAGTATTTTATTTAAAATATTATTTATTTAATATATCATTGAACAGATGTGGAAAAAATAATATGTTTAGCTTGTAAAATATATTGCTTTTAAAGAAAAAAAAATTTTTTTTTTAGAGTTAGTAGTTTTTGCACAAAATAGTAAATAAAGAGTGACCCAAAAAAAGCTTGGAAAATACTGTTTAATGTATTTTCATTAAACAAAAGAAAATAATTGCAGAGGATTTTACATCAATAATTTCTTTTATTTATTTACATTTCAATTTAGAGCTATTTTATACTGCATTTTATCCAAACAGAGCTCTTTATAAAATTCATTGATATAATTTCCTTTAAACCAGTATTTAGTCATATGTTTAAATAATGTTTGTTTTGTATTAGCAATATTACTTTAAGAGACATTCAGTATTCGCAAAGGCAAAATTGTCAAATTTCTTGTGGCATATTTTATAGAAGAAAACAAGATAAAATTCTTTAAATTTTATTCTTTTTTGTTTTGTTTTTATTTTTCTTATTAGAAATTAGAATATTTAAAGAATTCCAATCTAACTACACGGTTTCTTAGTTTAGATTAGGTCAGTGTTTCCCAAAGTGTGGTACGCGTACCCCCAGGGGTACGGGAACAGTTTAGCAGGGGTACGCGTTCTTATGCGAAATATCTTGCAACAAACGAAAATTACAAAAAAATTTATTTAAAAACAAAGCTAGCCATGAAAATTTACGATTACGTATTTTTCTATTGGATATTTTTTGCAGAGTTAACAGTTAATAATTAGTGGTGTCAACAGCCAGTTGTGATTTTTACTTTTTGTGTGATTTTTCATAGTAAAAAATTCATTCATTTTTTTATTAGGGGTACTCAGCGTTACGAAAAATTTAGAAAGGGTACACAAAAGTCATAAGTTTGGGAAACACTGGATTAGGTAATTGATTTTGATTTTATAACTCGGAAATAAATTACAGGGTGTCGGACGTAAAAATTTAACATACATTTCTTAGAAAAAATATCTTATAAAACATAAACTAAGTTTATAATCCTCAAATTTTTATAATAAAAACTTAGTACATCATAACCTATCGAAAACAATTTGTTTTATAAAAACTGATTATAATAAAATCAAATTAACATAAGTCAGTGTCAAATCAGCTTTTTTCACTTCAGTGTTATTTTTTAAGTCGGATATAAATTTAAGTTAATGATAGCCATTATAATTACTGAAAATTACTTTAATTTTAATCTTAACATTATAAACATTATTTTTCAATTAAATAACTTTCGACATTGTGATTAATAAAAGAATTTTGAATCAAAAATCAAATATTTACCAACAAAACAGTAAAATTTAATGTTATATCTAGTTGGTTCGTAAAAAAGGCTTTTTTTAAATAAAATATATTATAAAGGCTAAAATGAAATCCAGAAAATTAGCTTCGATGCAACAATGGTTATGATTTTTCCATTAACGATTCAAGAAAATGAGTGATTGGTAGGCTTTGCTAAGAAAAAATAATTCATTGGAAGGTAGAACAAAAGCTTTCAGAAAAAGAGTGCAAGATAAAATCTATTATTAAAATTATAACCAATTATTTTTTGGAGAATTTTATAAAGTTAAAAAAATTTAAACATTTCGTTAACATAAAAAATACTCCCGAAGCATCAGAACAAAATTTGACAATAAATGAATTTAGCCCACAGAGTAGAAGATAAAAAAAACTACTTATATAAACAGAAGCCAATATTCGAACCCTTTCTTTTACCTCCACCAATATTTCTGCCTTTTTTAAACTGTGTAGTCCCATAATCTCCAAAGAGGTCAAAGTTTTCTCCATTCATTTAGCAACATGGGAGAGTTTCATATGGCAGTCTAGTTTAGCAGGATAATAATGGTGAAAATTTTAATGCAAGCAAAGTATTGCTAAGTTGATGATATTTCAACTGTTTGACAATAAATTTCCATCTAAATAAAGTGGATATAGCGAATGGAAAAATAATTTAAATTAAGAAAAAAAATTCCAGCTTTTCTTTAAAATTCCCTGACTTTTCCAGGTTTTTATCCGAATTTCCCTGATTTTTCCAGGTTTTTTCCAGTATAAAAAAATTACCTGATAATTCCAGGTTTTCCACATGGGTGCCCACCCTGATTCATTAAACAAAGGATTTTGCATGTAATTTTAATTCAAGGTGCTATTTAAGTTGTTTTTTTTTTATTATTATTATTATTATTAATATTACCAACAACTCAGGATTCTAATGCTGAGAGAATAAAAAACAATTTAGAACCAGTAACCAAGGCTACAACTTCTACTAAGATGCGTTTACAAGAATGCATTTTAATTTTAATCCACAACTTTTCATTACTAGAGCTTATTTTACGGGCATTACATAAGTATAGGTTATTGCAATTACATAAATTTTCAGGCTTGTGTGCTCAAAATAGGCTTATAAACCTTCGTCAAGTAGATAAGTATAGAAACAGAAAAACACAATGAAAACTGCATTATAAAATTTGAAAAGAAAAAAACATTTCAGCTTCATTAAATTGTGTAAAGTCTAATGACACTTCTGTGAAATTTCTTACTTATAAAGGAAGCAAGAAGAAAGTTTTTCCTCAGTGAGTCTATGTCACTTTTTACATATGCTGCAAAAATGAATGCACCAGTATGAGATTGCAAAGATTCTTTTGACAAGTGCAACAAGAATTAGGTTTCTCAGCAGGGTCAACAAAACAATGAATAGGTTGACAAGCTCTTGTTAAAAAAAACTTACTATTACAAATGCTACAAGACTAGTATGAACATAAGTGTAAATATTCAGATCAATTATTTAAAAAAAACTGCTTCAAAGATATGCTGTGTCACTAGCAGGAACATTACTTTATTTACTCTGATGACATTTCTGAGAAAAACTCTTATTACGTTATGGTACAACAAAAAAGTTTCTCACCAGTGGAAACACAAACATCAAAGTCAGTCTTTTGAAGAAAAAAAACCCTTTTGACACATATCATAACAATGCAGTTTTTAATCAGCATGAATAAAACTATAACAAGTTGGGTGCTCATAAACTAAAAAAAACAACGAAACACAAACATCAAAGTCAGTCTTTTGAAGAAAAAAAACCCCTTTTGACACATATCATAACAATGCAGTTTTTAATCAGCATGAATAAAACTATAACAAGTTGGGTGCTCATAAACTAAAAAAAAAACTTTTTTTTCGTATACAAGAATATGGTTTCTAAACAGTGTGAACATGAATGTGAAGAGTTAGGTAATCCTTCCTTGAAAAATTCTTATTACATGAAATATGTTTTTCACCAGTATGAACACCAATGAGCTTATTTAGAACTATTTGTGAAAAACTCTTATAACATATACTACAAGAATAAAGTTTATTCCCCAGTATGAAGATGACTATGTCGAGTCAAACTACCTCTATCTGAAAGTCTCTTATTACATATATCACAAGAATAAGGCTTCTCACCTGTATGAACACGATTATGTCGAGTCAAATTACCTTTTATTGAAAATCTCTTACAACATATACTACAAGAATAAGGCTTCTCACTTGCATGAACACCACTGTGTTCAGTCAATTGAATTCTTTGTGTAAAACTCTTATTACATATACTACAAGAATAAGGTTTCTTGCCAGTATGAACTCGAATATGATTAAATAGATTATTTCTATGAGAAAAACTCTTTTTACATATACTACAAGAATAAGGTTTCTCACCAGTATGAACACGACTATGTTGAGTCGAAGTGCGTTTTGATGAAAATCTCTTATAACATATACTACAAGAATAAGGCGTCTCACCTGTATGAACACGACTGTGCTCAGTCAGTCCATCTTTTCGTGAAAAACTCTTATTACATATACTACAAGAATAAGGTTTCTCGCCGGTATGAACACAATTGGGTCTAGACAAATCTATTTGTGAAAAACTTTTATTACATATACTACAATAAGGTTTCTCCCCAATATGAATTCGAATGTGCATAGATAGACTCTCTCTTTGAGAAAAACTCCTATTACATATACTACAAGAATAAAGTTTCTCACCGGTATGAACTCGAATGTGCCTATATAGATTATTTCTATGAGAAAAACTCCTATTACAAGAATAAGGTTTCTCACCAGTATGATAACGATGATGTAGAGTCAAACTACTTCTGGCTGAAAATCTCTTCTTACATTTACTACAAGAAAAGGGTTACTCGCCAGTATGAACACGACTATGTCGAGTCAAATGACCTTTTATTGAAAATCTCTTACAACATATACTACAAGAATAAGGCTTCTCACGTGTATGAACACGACTGTGTTCAGTCAATTTACTTCTTTGTGTAAAACTCTTATTGCATACACTGCAAGAATAAGGTCTCTCACCAGTATGAACACGATAATGTAGCGTCAAAGAAGCACTACTTGTAAATCTTTTATTACATTTACTACAAGAATAAGGTTTCTCCCCAGTATGAACACGCCTATGTCGAATCAAATTACTTCTTGCTGAAAATCTCTTACAACATATACTACAAGAATAAAGCTTCTCTTTTGTATGAATATAACTGTGTTCAGTCAGTTGACACATTAGTGAAAAACTCTTATTACATATACTACAAGAATAAGGTTTCTCCCCAGTATGAACACGACTATGTCGAATCAAATTAAATCTACTTAAAAATCTCTTATTACATTTACTACAAGAAAAAGGTTTCTCACCAGTATGAACACGACTATGTCGAGTCAAATTTCCTTCTATTGAAAAACTCTTATAACATATACTACAAGAATAAGGCTTCTCACGTGTATGAACACGACTGTGTTCAGTCAATTTACTTCTTTGTGTAAAACTCTTATTACATACACTACAAGAATAAGGTTTCTCACCAGTATGAACACGACTATGTTGATTTAAATTAGATCTAGTTGAAAATCTCTTATTACATATAGTACATGAATAAACTTGCTCACTTGTATGAACACAACTATGTCGAGTCAAATTACCTTTTATTGAAAAACTCTTATTACATATACTACAAGAATAAGGCTTCTCATCCATATTAACACGGTTGTGCTTAGTGAGATCTCTTTGTGAAAAACTCTTATTATACTCTTCTTATTCTACAAGAGTAGGATTTCTCGCCAATATGAAATTTGCAGTGTTTCGTGAGACTACTTCTTTTAGAAAAAAATCTAGTTACATATATCACAAGAATAAGGTTATCTTACAGGATGAAAAACACTTTTACAGTATGTGTTTACTTTTCTGAGAAAAAATTTAATCATAAGTGTAGATAAATTGTGTGTAGTTGAATAAGATCTCTAGAATAACAATCATAAATATGCTGCAAGAAATGAAGACATACTATATCCACTTAGCAATGATATTAAAAAAGAAATGCATAAATGTAAGAAAAAATACAGATTCTCTATTCAAATTAAAATTCTTGCTTTTTCTTTCTTATTTGAAAAAAATAGCTATAACTTGATAATAGAAAAATAATTAGCCATTGATTAAAATGAAGGTAATAATTCAAAATAATTTTCACTGCAAAAGTCATTTAATAGCACAAAGAGGCCTTCAATAACACATAATTTAAAATGATCCTGTTGTATCAACTCACTTACTTTGACTAAATTTTTTAAATAAGCAAAATAAAATACTGTAGAAATATGATCACTTTACAACAAGAACATGATTTATTAATAGGTTCATCTGTGACTGAAAGGATCAATTTAAATTATATTGAAATGCAAAAAAATTTTTCCACCAACTTTAATAATATTTCTATTTTGCACAAAAAACTGCAGAAACTATGAACCTCTTTATGTAGAAAATCCCTTTAAATTTAATACACTATGAATGGATGTATTCTTAGACACACTGCAAAATGAATGTCATTTTTATTAGGAAAACTTCTTACAAAAATAAACAGTAACGCTGTTTACTATTATGAACACGAAATTATCAAATTAGATTTCATTTGCAATTTATTTCACACGCACATGGGTAACTATGGTACAATATATATTACAATATATGGGCAAATATGGTACAAAAATATGGAACAATATATATTTTTAAGTCAGACATTATATATATATTTTTTTTTACTTTCGCTGATTCAAAAGATTTGACATTACAAATATATATATTTCAAAAAAGAATTAGATTGCTAATTTTTGTATCAATGTTTCATCATAGACTATAAATGCATGCTTTTATAAATTAACATAAATATGAGAGGGTTAAGAAAATTTAATTTTATCTCACAATTTAAAATTGCACAAACTGCATATAAAAAATATTTTCTCTGTGTCAACAAGAAAATCATAATCTATATTACTTGCATATAAATATCAAATCACATGTGCTTTATGAATGTATGAGAGAGTTTAATTACCTGCAATTAAAACCTATTTACAACTGTTTAATAATGCACTTCATGGAAAAGTTCGTCCAAAGTGTTAGTTAGATTATTGCAAATTCCATTCTTCATGATTAATTTATCAGGCCTGCTTAAATAAATTGTTCGGATATAACAAACACAAAACATTTAAACGAAATTACTTCTTATTGCATACTTTTTAATTACAACAATCATTAAATTCACTTAGAAACTTCCAAGCATAGTGCAAACATTAAATTTCTATGAAAATATTTTTCTCTTAAAACATCATTGCAACTATGTGTCACAAATAAGAATGTTATTGTCAACACAGAAAGATATTGCTTTCAATAATATCTCCTTCTGCCAGGAAGCATTTAATACACAGGGCATAAATACTTTATTAATTACATGAATCGAACAGAAAACACGTTTTTCTTTTTTAATTTTAGGGACTCACACAACAGGAATTTTATTTACTGTCAGCAAGAAGAAAATGTTATTTTATTATTCCATCAATTTTTGTTTTCAGTATGGTATCCAAATCAAGTAAAATACAAAACAAAAATATTATAATTAAACTTTTCTTTACATATATTAAGTTGCGAAAATCTTCTTCAGTTTAAGCAAGATTGTATAATGTTTAAATTGGTTGGTATGTATCTGATTGTAAACGTCTGCGATGAGCTCTTTGCCTTAGCTTATAGCTTTCTATTTCTATTTATGTAGTTTAGGGTGGAGGCTTGAAGGCCATATCACACTTAAGGAAATTCGTCCAACTCAACCTTCAACTCAACCTCAACTTCAACTTTGTGTTCAACTACTACCTGAAATAGTTGAACTATGGTTGCCATGCGGTTGAA